TAAGAAACTACAAAATTTATATTTTTAATGTGTGTGTTAATACACATATCTTGACATGAAAATTAAAAAAAACTCAAAAATTTAAGATTTTCTTGTGTGTGTTAGTACACACATTTTTGCAAGAAAATTAAAAAACTCGAAAATTTAACATTTTTTTGGTGTGTGATAGTACACATATATACACAAAAAATTAAAATAAAAATCAAAAATTTAACATTTTCTTGTGTGTGTGTGTGTTAATACACACTTCTTGGCAAGAAAATTAAAAAACTAGACAATTTAAAATTTTTTGTGTGTGTTAATACATACTTCTTGGCAAGAAAAAATAAAACACTCAAAATTTAACATTTTTTGTGTGTGTGATAGTAGACATATTCACAAGAAAATTAAAAAAAAAACTCAAAAATTTAATATTTTCTTTTGTGTGTGTTAATACACCCTAATTGGCAAGAAAATTAAAAAACTCAAAAATTTAATATTTTTTTTGTGTGTGTTAATACCAAAATCTTGAAAAGAAAATTAAAAAAAAAAAATCAAAAGTATAAAATTTTCTTGTGTGTGTTAATACACACATCTTGGCAAGAGAATTAAAATATTTGTAATATTTTTTTGTGTGTGTTAATACACATATCTTGACAAGAAAATTAGAAAAAAAAACTCGAAAATTTTACATTTTCTTGTGTGTGTGTAAATATATATATCTTGACAAGTAAATTAAAAAAAAAAACTCAAAATTTAACATTTTCTTGTATGTTTGTTAATACACATATGTTAACAAGAAAATAAAAAAATTAGTCCTGCAAATTTAAGAAGGAAAAATTCACAGAAAAAAGCTCGAAAATTTAACATTTTCTTGTGTGTGTGTTAATACACATATCTTAGTAAGAAAATTAAAAAATTCCAAATTTAATATTTGTGTACGTATGTGTGTTAATACACATATCTTGACAAAAAGATTAAAAAGCCTCGAAAATATAACATTTTCTTTTGTGTGTGTTAATACACACATCTTGTCAACAAAATAAAAAAACTTCAAAATTTAATATTTTTTGTGTGTGTTAATACACACATCTTAGAAACAAAATAAATAAACTTCAAAATTTAAGATTTTGTGTGTGTGTGTTAATACACATATCTTGACAAAAAGATAAAAAAAATCCTCAAAAATATAATATTTTCTTGTGTGTGTGTTAATACACACATTTTTGCAAGAAAATTTTAAAATTCGCAAATTTAAAAATTTGTGTATGTGTGTGTGTTAATACACACATCTTGGCAAGTAAATTACAAAAACTTTAAAATTTAACATTTTTTGTGTGTGTTAGTACACATATGTATCTTGACAACAAAATTAAAAAAAAACTCAAAAATTTAACATTTTCTTGTGTGTGTTAATACACACAATTTTGGCAAGAAAATTATAAAAACTCAAAAAATTAACATTTTCTTGTGTGTGTGATAATACACACATCTTGGTAAGAAAATTATAAAAATCAAAAATTTAACATTTTTCTGTTTGTGTTAATACACACATCTTGACAACAAAATAAAAAAAACTAGTACACACATCTTGGCAAGAAAATTTAAAAACTCGAAAATTTAACATTTATTGTGTGTGTGTGTTAATACACATATCTTGACAAGAAAATTAAAAAACTCGAAAATTTAGCATTTTCTTGTGTGTGTTTTAATACACCCTTCTTGACAAGAAAATTAAAAAACTCGAAAATTTAATATTTTTCGTGTGTGTGTTAATATACATATCTTGACAAGAATATTAAAAAAACTCAAAAATTTAACATTTTCTTGTGTGTGTTAGTACACACATCTTGGCAAGAAAATTAAAAAACTCAAAAACTTAACATTTTTTGGGTGTGTGATAGTACACATATATACACAAAAAATTTTTAAAAAAAGCTCAAAAATTTAACATTTTCTTGTATGTGTTAATACACACATCTTGACAGGAAAATTATAAAAACTCAAAAACTTAACATTTTCTTGTGTGTGTGTTAATACACACATCTTGGCAAGAAAATTAAAAAAACTCCAAAATTTAATATTTTCTTGTGTGTTAGTACACACATATTGGCAAGAAAATAAAAAAACTACAAAATTTAGTATTTTTTATATGTGTGTTAATACACATATCTTGACAAGAAAATTAAAAAAAAAATACAAAATTTAACAGTTTGTTGTGTGTGTTAGTACACCTCTCAGCAAGAAAAATCAAAAACTCGAAAATTTAACATTTTTTTGGTATGTGATAGTACACATATATTCACAAAAAATTAAAAAAACTCAAAAATTTAATATTTTCTTGTGTATGTTAATACACACTTCTTGACAAGAAAATAAAAAAAAACTCGAAAATTTAAGATTTTTTGTGTGTGTGATTGTAGACATATATTTGTAACCTACGATTGCTACTATATAACCCTCCCGAAATAAAGTATTTAATGATGTATTCATATATTTGAAATAACTTATCCAATATTTTGATTAATATGTAGCGACTAAAAGTATTTGAAGTACTTAGTTGACTTCACTCGTGTGGTCATTAATAAAATGAATTGGAAATATTCGGCAACTAACTGTCCAATTCAAGCGCCTCTAACTAAATGAATGGTGACACAAAATTAATATGCTTTTGTGAATTAAAGAAATTCATTTATTGTTGTTATTTTTTATCTGTTTATAAATATTTTTTTTATTTTTTTTATATATATGATGTTTAAGGTTTTGCACATAGATTAAGAAGTTATATAATTTTGTTCTTTTTCCAAAATAAAACATCAATTCCAAAACAATTTAATCAATAGAAAATAATATATAGAATTTAAACAATTAAAATAATTAAAAATTTTAACATTTTCTTGTGTGTGTGTTAATACACCTTTCTTGGCAAGAAAATTAAAAAACTCGAAAATTTAATATTTTTTGTGTGTGTTAATACCAACATTTTGACAAGAAAATTAAAAAAAAAATTCAAAAGTATAACATTTTCTTGTGTGTGTTAATACACACATCTTAGCAAGAGAAATTAAAAAATTCGTAATATTTTTTTGTATGTGTTAATACACATATCTTGACAAGAAAATTATAAAACAAACTCAAAAATTTAACATTTTCTTGTGTGTGTTAATATATATTTTCTTGACAAGTAAATTAAAAAAAAACTCAAACATTTAACATTTTCTTGTGTGTTTGTTAATACACACATCTTGACAAGAAAATAAAAAAATTAGTCCTGCAACCTGCAAACTTAAGAAGGAAAAATTCACAGAAAGAAACTCGAAAATTTAACATTTTCTTGTGTGTGTGTTAATACACACATCTTAGTAAGAAAATTAAAAAAACTTCCAAATTTAATATTTTTTGTGTGTGTTAATACACATATCTTTACAAGAAGATTAAAAAAACCACAAAATAATAACATTTTCTTCATCTTGGGAAGAAAATTTAAAAATTCACAAATCTAAAAAAAACTATGTGTGTTAATACACACATCTTGGCAACAAAATTTAACATTTTCTGGTGTGTGTGTTAATACACACATCTTAGTAAGAAAATTAAAAAACTTCCAAATTTAATATATGTGTGTTTGTGTTAATACACATATCTTGACAAAAAGATTAAAAAAACCTTGAAAATATAACATTTTCTTGTGTGTATTAAAATACACAAATTTTGGCAACAAAATAAAAAAACTTCAAAGCTTAATATTTTGTGTGTGTTAATACACATATCTTGACAAGAAGATAAAAAAACCTCAAAAATATAACATTTTCATGTGTGTGTGTTAATACACACATTTTAGTAAGAAAATTTTAAAATTCGCAAATTTAACAATTTGTGTGTCTGTGTGTTAATGCACACATTTTGGCAAGAAAATTAAAAAAAAAAACTAAAAAATTTAACATTTTTTGTGTGTGCGTTAGTACACATATCTTGACAAGAAAATTAAAAAAAAAATTAAAAATTTAACATTTTCTTGTGTGTGTGTTAATACACACATCTTGGCAAGAAAATTATAAAAACTCAAAAATTAAACATTTTTCTGTTTCTGTTAATACACACATCTTGGCAACAAAATTAAAAAAACTCAAAAATTTAACATTTTCTTATGTGTGTTAGTATACACATCTTGGCATGAAAATAAAAAACTACAAAATTTAGTTTTTTTTATGTGTGTGTTAATGCACATATCTTGACAAGAAAATTAAAAAAAAAACTCAAAAATTTAACATTTTCTTGTGTGTGTTGTTAGTACACACAGTGGCAAGAAAATAAAAAAACTACAAAATTTAGTATTTTTTGTCTGTGTGTTAATACACATATCTTGTCAAAAAAATTAAAAAAAAAACTTAAAAATTTAACATTTTCTTGTGTGTGTTAGAACACACATCTTGACAAGAAAATTAAAAAACTCGAAAATTTAACATTTTTTGGATGTGTGATAGTACACATATTCACAAAAATTTTTTTTAAAAAACTCAAAAATTTAACATTTTTTTGTGTGTGTGTTAATACAAACTTGTTGGCAAGAAAATTTAAAAACTCAAAAATTTAATATTTTTTGGGTGTGTGATAGTACACATATATTTACAAAAAGTTTAAAAAAACTCAAAAAATTAATATTTTCTTGTCTGTGTTTATACACACTTCTTGACAAGAAAATTAAAAAACTCAAAAATTTAACATTTTGTGTGTGTGATAGTACACATATATTCAGAAAAAATTAAAAACAACTCAAAAATTTAACATTTTCTTGTATGTGTTAATACAGACATTTTGGCAAGAAAATTAAAAAATTCGAAAATTTAACATTTTGTGAGTGTGACAGTACGCATATATATTCACAAGAAAATTAAAAAAAAACTCAAAAATTTAATATTTTCTTGTGTGTGTGTAAATACACACATCTTGACAAGAAAATAAAAAAACTACAAAATTTATTATGTTTTGTGTGTGTTAATACACATAGACAAGAAAATTAAAAAAAACTCATTAGCTTTCAATGTTGTTCCATCTCTTTGTTGAGCATTGACTCTTAAAACCAAAACCAAAACCAAACCAGCCGGTATAGAAGTAACAATCTTAAAGGTCTCTGAAAGTGGATAGATCGATCACCAAAGAACCAACAAAAGGCATAAAAAAATACAGTAACTAAGCAAACTCTCTCAAACTAAACGTTAGGAAGACAAATGTGATACTTGTAGCAAGCAAAAAGACAAAGGTGTAGGAAAGAGTCTCCTCAATCCAGAATATCAGAGATAGCTGTCTTCTTAAAAGGATCGCCTTGAGCCAACTGTGCAGCCATGGATTTGTTCGGAAAGATATTATCGGCCTTCATTCTATCTCGCATTCCATAAGCAGGAGCTTTGCCGTTTATGTAAGCCTGCATGAGGGCTTGGAACTGCCTGAGCCTAGATGTATACCCAGCTTCCCTCATTTTTTGGAATATCTTCTCAGTGTTATGAATATCTCCCCGTTTTGCGTACTCGTCCATAATGTACATGAACGAGTTCATCATCAGTTTCGTATGGCTCTGTTTTGATGCCTTGTTCAGCAAAGAATCAGCCTTTTCAACTTCCCCAGCTTCCACGTAGAGCCTGATGAGTGCATCCCATGTGGATGCCTCAATCCTGCAACCGCTCTCCGCCATTCGTTTAACCAGATCCTTGCCCTTTGAGAGCATCTTGTGATCAACGTAAACCCTCAGGAGGACGGAGTAAGTGTTAGACGAAGCTCTTCTGTCCATCTTCACAATCTTTTCAAAAATCGCCTCAGCCTCTTGTACTTTGTTGAGCTTTCCAAAACCGGAGATTGCAGCAAGGGATTCCTCAAAGCGGGGCTTTGATTCGCAGAGCTTCCATATTCTCCTCACCTCATCTTCTCTCCCGAGAGAGGCATAGATGGAGAGCAAATCTTTGAACGCCTGGCGGTTTGCCTCTAGGCTTTCACCTTCCATCTCTTTCAAGACTCTCTCGGCCTTGTCTTTAAGCCCAGCTCCTGCGTAGTGTCTCGCAGTGATGGCCTGTGTGTGGAAGTCCGGTTCAACACCTTCATCTTTCATCGTCTCCACAAGCTGCTCCATCCCATTAATGTCGTTAGATGAGCCTTTGACGTCAATCAGGATCTTGTAGGTGAGAAGACTCGGCTTGACATCTTCTTTCTCCATGAGCAAAAGCACATCAGCGATTTTCTTTCTGTCGACCCTCTTGTAGAGCAGAAGCATCTGATCACAGGTGAAAGCAGAACGAGGGAAGCCCAAGTCCTTCATTCTGTTGAACACAGCTTCCGACTTCTTCACGTTGCAAGCAACCACACAGTTCGCCAGGAGGGTACGATAGATCACTTCCCCTCTGAAGGATTTCGGGATCTTGTCCATATAAGCTTCTCCCTTGTCTAAGCCGCGCGTTTTAACAATAAGATCTAACCGAGAAGCATAATCTCTCTCGTTCATTTCAAGTTTCTTATTTGCTTCCAACCACTCTGACATCTATACACACACAGAAAAGAAACGAAAGTAAGCAATTTGATCAAATATCAATATATATAAGAGAGATAAGGTAGAATCACCTGTAATGCTCTGCCATACATCCTACGTCTACGCAGCTGAAGCATCGCCTTAGCAACCTCGATTCGGTTGATCTCATTTCCTTCTTCCGTCCATTTATCAAGTGCACTGCCTACAGAGAGCCCTGCTGCAGAAACAATGGTCTTAAACAACTCCGATGGTTTCTTCTCTACGGCTTTTCTACGATCCTCGGTTTCAATGAGGTCTAGCTCCAGCTCCTCTTCTTCCTCATCGTCTTCAGTGTCATCTTCATCAGCGGAGAGCTTTCCCTTAGGCGGCGCCTCATCATCCTCACTGCTACTCTCTTGGCCTGACTCTGAATCTTCCAGATCAGAGAACCCGGGTTCGACTTCATATTCCTCCTGGTCACTTTTAGTGCCGGCGTTGGAGGACAGTGCACGTTTACTCATACATGACATGCCGTAGAGTCTTGGAACAGCTTCGCGTTTATCATACACAACCGAATTGGATTCAAGAGTGAAGAAGCTCCTCTCTCCTGACGATTGTACCTCTTTGGTATGAAAAGCAGTACAAGCTCCCACTCGGAGTCTCTGGGTTCTGGAAACATTACAAAAGGAAGAACATCACAACACAACAGAGACGAAGAAGAAAAGCCTACATAAAATTCCAATTGAATCGAAACCTATTTACACCAATAAAGAGATATGAATGATACAGCGATTCTAAGTTTCTAACCTCCGCAAAACCTTGGAAAGAGCCAACATGCTGGTTCCGTCGAGAAGATCACTGGAAATAAAACAAAAACACAAATCAGATTTATATAGATTTCACAACAGGAAGCCCAGAAGGTAAGATTCGAAAGAAAGCGAGCATATGGAAGATATCGACGAAGAAGAAGATTACAGAGTCGTGACCGAGTCGATTAAGAAATGAGAGCAGAAGAAAAGTGTTCAAAGTGGGGTTTATGAAATGAGAGAGAGAGAGCTGTAAAATTTAATGTTTAGGGTTTTACGTTTTTTTCTCGGTTTGACCATTTTGTCCTCCTCTAAGCAAAATCTGTCACTACTTGTTCTTAACAAGAGAAGCTGATGGGATTTCGTTCTTTTTAAACCTACGATTTTGTGAAAGCTTTGCCCATAATGAAACCTTTTTTGCTCTGTTATCTCAAACACCTTTTACATGTTTTTGAGTTTCAAACATGACAACTACATCAACATGTACAAGCTGGAAATGTTAATTTGCATTTACATGAAAGCACAAACGATTCCCTTAATTGAACACTGGTGGTATAATGGAGATGATTGGTCGATTCAGACATCAGATTTGGCAGTCCAGGTTCTGGATGAGTTGGTCTCTGCTCCAGAAACAGTCATCAAGCTTCCAGTGTCAGACATGTAGTGGTAATTGTAATTGATCCTGGTCACTAAATCAGCCAGATGAGGGAAGTGTCCCACGTTCAGCTTCGACGACAATACCTGCAAGTTCGATTTCCCATAATCAACTAACCAACAAGAGTTCAAACTACAAGAACAAGTATGACATAGTTTTGGATAAAGGTGGCCATACTCTAAGGAGGAAAGCAATGCAGTCTTCAAATTGTTTCTCAATGCGGTCTATTTCCATCTCGCATCTTGCCTTGATGGCAGACACTGCTCCACCGCTGCTCAGTGTCTGTTGTATTGAGTAGAATTCTAGAGCTAAACCCAGAATCATGTTTATCCGACTTGCGATGATTGCCCACTACACAGAAACCACCAAATACACTTGGTTTTTATAGCTCCAAAAACTCACATATATTACAAAATTAATAGCGATGACGCAATGGTCCATTACCAGCTTTTCTTGAACCACAAAGCATTGCCTCTGAATCGATAACAAGTAGGTCTCGTGTACGTATATGACCTCGTCTAGCGACCCTGCTTTTACCATAGCTTCGCACAGTTCACGCCATGCCGTGTGATATACCTGTTTACAAAATCCAGTTTCACCCTGATAAGCTTTTCATAGCATTAAAGCCGTTAAGATCAACTATCAATTTTGCGCATACTTCTGTTACTCCAACGAAAAAAATCATACTGTAATGATAAAATAATTATTCAGCATCAAACAGTACCCTGTCCATTACGTATTGATGAAAAGCATCCACAAAATTGAGGAGCTTTTGTTCCAGTAACCAGTGGTGCTTGCGGATTTTTGTTGCAGAGCCTTTTTTACCCTATAATACACAAGCACCAAGTAGGATATCGGATCAAAAGACTGATTACGCTCTTTGAAACTGGATTTGGACGTCACATGAAGCAGTCTGAAAAGAAAGAAATGAGTTCGAGAGATGAGACCTTCCACATCCACCTTCGCGCTTTATCAAGCACATATTTTGCTCGCTTGACCTTCAACAAAAATCCCATCACCTGTGTTCATTTAAATAGTTATGTACAGAGAACAACGGACTGTTTCCCCCAAAAATAGCTGGATGAGAAAGGGTTACCTGATTATACTTCTTAATGGCCTCACTATTGGCAATAAGCTCAAGCGGCCATGGTACCTTGAAAAGAAAATGGTTCAAATCTTTAAATACACATACATGTAGCCATGTATTATGCCAATACGCTACAATTGGTTGGAAGAGTAAATGTCTTTCTCTAGACCTTGTATGTGAATTTGAGAGACTCGAGGCAGTCTATCCCAAAGTTGTTAATGCGGCTTTTACGAGTTGAAGAAAAGGGCATTACGTCACCCTTGTCATCTTTGTCTTTGTCTAAACAACCTTCTCTGGAAATAGATACTACCAATGAATCAGGACTGCTTAACAGCATCGCATCAGCTGAATTTCTAATTGATTCCTGTAGACAACCATTACAATTTGGAATTCACTTTGTTTGTATAAACACGATATACGGCACTGGAACAGGGATACATAAGCAAGCAATTAACATGGAGAATCTTTTTAGACATCCGTAAAAATGAGAGCAGTGTCTCTACTCTCTGTAGTTCACCAAACCTGGTTACCTGAAGGATTATGTTCAGCTCGAAATCATCATTTGATGACTCTCCCTTCCCCAGCCTATTGAATATGACAGTCAGAAAATGCTGCAGAAGGTCCCCTGCAAATTTTAAGGATTTATTAGGATTCCAGATACGACCCTATTGCCAAGATATTGAAGCACACAAAACGTACCTGAGCCTAACAAGAAAATGGCACGCAACACCGCAAGTTCGTGCATCAATTTCCAATCATTCATTAGTTTTGACAAAATCACTTTGCCAATGTAGTCCACCTACAACACGCACAACTTTCATAAGCTAGCAAAAGTGTGTGTGTATACCGTAGGAATATGCGGCAATGCAAAGTTTACATCACCATACCTGCCTCCTGATGTAGATTGTGAAGCATTCTTGCATTATTACAACAGGAAGTGGAGTATCCCTTGGCTCTACCTTTAGCATCCAGTTGAGAACTCTTGAAGGAAGTGTACTATTCTTTTGGAAAGGTAGGAACTCTGACATATGGAGCTTCGGCTTTTTTTTGTTGTTGTTGATCACAAAGATTTCAAAATCAGCTTATGGGAGAAAAGTGAAGGAATGGACATAAAATGATCATATCGTTATTATCGAAGTACCTGGAATGACGGAAGCAACGTGGGAAAAGGAAACAACGTTTCTAGAATTTTTGTGTCATTCTGAGAAGAAAGATACTCAGATCTACCAAACTGGAATCCAAATTTGTAGTTTGTGCCGCTCAATCCAGCATCTGCCACGCCAGATCCCTCAAAAACAGCACTCAACAAGCTCTCATCGTTTAGAGAGGGTAGAGAATAGCTGTGTGATAAGTTCAAGACACTCCAAGCATCGTTATTCCTCTCAAGATCCATTTTAGATACTGAAACAACAAGGTTTTCATGACAGAATGAACCCTGCAACGCCTTTCTGACTGCGAGACCGTTTTTTTCGTCCTTAACACCAGCAACATAACATGCGCTCTGGTGTTCTGATTTGGCCTCCATAGCTTTTTTCTCTTGCACAGCACCGACCAACAACTTATACCACATTCGCTCTGAGCACGTGAGAACTGGAAGATCTTTACCATCCATGTCATTCTCCAGATCTCCATTAATATGTGATGCTAAAGTTGGAGAAATCTCCCACTCATCCGCCTCACCTTTCCAGAGATATCTAGAGACATGATCACCATGGCCTATAAGGCCAGCAAGTGTTAGACAAAAGACTTCAGACAAGGATAAGTTTGCAGTGCTCCTAAAGTTGTTCTTTTTAGCCACTAGTGTACCACAGCTAGAATTCCCAAAACCATTTCCCTTATGGTACTGAATCTTTCCCGAAGTTCCTGAAGACGTGGAAGGAATATGCTGCATCAGCTGCAGTGACTTCCCAGCAGACACAATCGACTTACAGATGTCTTTAATGAACAATGGGCACAACACCCGATTATTCTGCTCTTTGTCTTTGTCAGAAATTGAGTTGGAGTCATTTCCACTCAATCCTTTCTTTTCATTTGATTTTGGGCCCGGCACCCTCATCAGCATATAGCTTTTCTCCCAAAACTCTGCATCGTTAACGGAGACCGATTGGTTGGCTGTAAAAAACAACTGCGAAGAACAAAAGTGAATCTTCACCTCAACCAAAGATTCATCACCTTGATGTTGAAGCATAAAGAGCTAGAAGAAAATGGTTGAACACACCCATAGAACATAAAAACAATTCAAAGAACACCTACCTCTCCAAAAGGATCATCAAGAGTTCCCTCAAACAGCCATGAATCCAAACCCTCAACATACGGCAATAAACTTCCCGCAAAGATTTGCAGCAGCATGTGAAATCCTTCCACCTGGTCCAGATATTATCAATATACCAATGAGGGAAGTAATCAACAACAAAGGAAGAAAGCACAAAAAAACACTCATGAAAAGAGCCACAACCTCACCACCTTGCACAAGGCATACTTCATCCAACTTCTTGTAAAGGTAATCAAGAACGTGGACAGCAATTTCAGCAGTCGAAATAGTTGAAGTTGAGTCAAAATACGCAGGAGGGATTGCACCTCGTACAACTTGTAAAAGATATTCAGCACCTGAACACAGACTAGCAAATGGAAACAAAAAAGATAAACGCGAGCTCCGAGTTATCTCTCTTGAATTGAAGAAACAGCATCGGATATATAAAGAAAAAACAAATAGGCAACACACCTAGATAAAGAAGTAGTTAATCCCAAGAGGGTTGGTGTGACACTAATGTTAGAATTGTTGATTTTCACTTCCTCGTTCAAAGCAATGTCTCTGAGTCTCTGTAACAAATTCCAATTGTATATCAGTCTCAAAAACAAAAAAACAGATGTTTTCGAGAAGAGACAATCAGATTACGAAGAAGATGTGAATGCATTTGCCTCAAGCCAAGTAGAGACAGAGTTAGAAAATGCCATTAAGGTGGGAGGAGAGCTGAGAGAGGTATTGATTCCAGCAACGATGGACTCCACAAGCTTCAAACATGTTGCGGCATACAAGAAACCAGCGAGAAGGAGATGAAGGCTTGAGTGAGACAAATGAGAGACGCGAATCTCAGTTTTAGCGAGGAAAGTCTGTCGAATTTGGTCCCAGAAAATGAAGGGACTAGACAGACCTTGCAAAGCTTGTAACAGACCTCTCACCTATCATCAACAACAAAAAAGGAATTTATATTAAAAAAAAAAAAAAAACAGAGTTTGTTTTGCCGATGAGAGAAACCGAAGAACAGTGATTATCCGAGGGATTACCAGATCCAATTCGTTCACGCTCACTGAGGGAGGGGCCACTGCTGAGTGTGTCCAAACTCTGCGACTGCACATCGCCCCCGGAATTAGGGTTTCTAAGCCACTACGAAGCAACGACTCCATTGTTCTACTTCCGCTACCTAAACAATTTTGATTTCCATAGCACAATCGGTGGAAGAAGCTTACGACTACGAGGGATGAATTTGAGGAAGAGAGGGAGGGAAAGAGAGAGTGAGAAAGATCTCAGGCCCAATTATACTTTTTCAGTTATCACCAAAACTAGTAAGTATTATCAATGTAAGCCCGTCGCAGTTACTTTAATTACCAGAATACACTTTTTACTCAAAGAACTCATTTTTTACACTTTAAGGACTTATACTCTTGCTGATTATCACGAGATGCCCCATCCTTTCAAAATACACTAGTCTTTTAAGATCTACTGCGTCAATAAAACCATCATTTTGAAGTTTTTAACATTTAAATACCAATGCGAGAGAGATTATGACCAAGAAAGTGGATACACATCAGTATTCAAACAAGAAAAATTGCCTTGGATACACAACTTCGATATAAAATCAACAAAGCATGCCTTCAATATGAACGATACAACACGAAGTAGCGTTTGCTCGTCGAAAGTAGCTAACTATGATATATAAACTAAACTATTCAGGGTAAGCTCAAGGAAGCCATATCCTCAATTAACCTGTCCACCATGTCTCTGTAACATCAAGCACAATGACAGAGAGACCACAGGAATAGGATCAATGAAAATGCTTTGCATTTTCTGTCAAATCCATCTTTTGTGCTCCCGCTGATGAGCATCCTGATTTCTTCCCCTCGATGTCCATTGTTCAACAGTCAAATCTCCCCCAAAACAGCAGCTATTTCTAACGCCTCCTTCAAACACAAAAGATATGCATAAAAATTTAGCTTGGAAGACACCTAAATTAGATCCAACTAGTGTGATTAGAATTCCCAACCAACCTTTTCCGAGATTTCCTTCTTAAATTGATCGGCTTTCTCTTTTTCTTTTTCTTTTTCACTTTGACGTTGCAGATTCCAGTCAGAATCTCCTCAGTGTCTATAGTATCATCGACATGAGTTTTCAACAAATTGCAGTTATCCAAAGCCTTCAGTTGTTGGACAGCGCAAGGGACAAGGCAAGTATCCACTTGTACCCTTTTCCTTACATGCTCCATTACCACAAGCCCTGCAATACACCATACAGTTAATTGTTTTTTCATACGGTACGAGATTGATTGTGCAACATTACAAGACATACCGAGAGCTCGTAGCGTCTTAAGATCAAACTGCCCAGCTAGTTCTTCGTGATCACTTCTTTTGGCTCGTTCAATGGCTAGCTTCTTTAAGCTGATGAGCAAATCCTGCAAAAACAAGTTTGGTGGAGAGATTGATAATACTAATGTTTTAAACAATCAATAACGAGAGTAGGGATATCGTTCGAAATTTTACCACTTCAGATTCTGACAGAGAGCAAAACCAAGTGATATCTTCTGTCCTATTGTTCTTCAAGATTTCGGTAAGTTGTTCCATCTTTTAAGACAAGGGCATGATTCCAAGATTTTGAGATTCCTAAACCAACCTGCAATGCCTAAAACAATGGCTGAATCAGGAAAATTAAACTTTAGCTAGCAAATACATACTTCACTGTGACAAAGGCTTGGATTATCTAAAATCGATTGGGTCGCTCACCTCAATCGAATTAAACAGTCTCCGACTGAGAAAGCGATATAGTGCTACCCGTCACGAGCAATATACTGTAACTTTGAATCGGCGACGACGACGTTGAGATAGTGCCTAATTGAGTTAGAGAGACGAAGATGACTATGACAGAAATCGTAAGGGGGGTTGGAAAGATCTGAGGGAGGCAAGCGTGAGTGAATCTCAAGGGACAATTTTGTGACGCCGGAAGATTCCAAGTCAGAATAGCAAAGCGGAAGGAGACGCAAAACAATAAACCCTAATTTGTCTCGTCGGAAAATTAACATATTTCAATTCAGAACACTATTTTGTGTACTACAATAATATATGAGAGGTTTAATCACCAAGGATCCGTGGCGCAATGGTAGCGCGTCTGACTCCAGATCAGAAGGTTGCGTGTTCGATTCACGTCGGGTTCAATCCTCCCGATTCCAGATCCTTAATTTTTTTTTATTATTTTGTACTCCTCGAACTTATCTAAAGTATTGATTATTTGATATACTAACAACTCTTGCGTATTTAATGTAATGTTAGACGTTATCGATAAAAGCTTCGCTTTGTGATTACGACAACTCAAACTTTAGAGCCTCCTTGCACGTGCTCTCCCCTCCAACTATTGTCGTAATATGTTCATGCGACGTATACTTAAAGATCTTAAAATGTTCCCTATCTACTCAAACTTTTACACAACAATATCATTTGCATATTTTGCTGTTGTATTGACATCAAAACATAATTTGTTTATTTAAAACGTGTAACTAGTAGTAAAAAAAAATAGAAAGATAAATATATAATCGAGGGTTTATTCGCTAATAAGTGATTGAAGATGTAATCTATGTATTCGCCGACGTTTTGGGATGAGTTAGGAAAGTCCAACATGTTTGGGACAGGAATATTGATCGAAGCTTGTAATGCGGTAAAGTCGGCAGTCGTGCCTGCACCAGAAAACAACCTACCCCTTCACGTGTTCATCCCAATTTGATCAAATATTTTACATTAATCATCGATTCATTTTGACTATTACTCACGACAACAATATTTTAGTTTCGTTATAGGTTTTTTAAGACATCTCAGTGATAAATTATTTCAAATCATTTCCAAATAATGGCGTTATAGTTTAGAGTTGATTAACAAAAGTATGAATGAAGTCATTGTATCCTGAGCTAGCTAGCTGTCTGTGCATGCGTGGCACCTGACAGATAAAAACGGAGGATGCTTCCAGTGGCATTCTCGTGGTTTTCATAGAAACCAGTGTTCTTCTTCCAAACTCAAACTCATAAAACCCTGAGTATTTCTTCCACCCTTTACATCATCACCATATCGCTCGCTCTCTCTTCATTAATTCATCTCTCACCCAAAGGAAGTCACAATGTACAAACTAGAAGCCGCATTCCTCTTTGCTCTCCTCTGCGTTTCTTCCAACGTCGTCGTATCGACTCCAATCCGCGATGGTAATAGCTCTAAAGCTGGTTCAACACAAACTCTATTAACATATCCGTATCTAACTCTTCTGGTTTGTGGTTTCAGGTTTATTACCAAACGGTAATTTCGAGATGGGTCCTAAACCTTCCCAATTAAAAGGATCCGTTGTCAAGGAACGAACAGCTGTACCGAAATGGGACATAACCGGGTTCGTCGAGTACATCAAAGCTGGCCAGAAGCAAGACGACATGGTCCTGGTCGTACCTGAAGGCTCCTCCGCCGTCAGATTAGGCAACGAGGCCTCCATCTCCCAGAAAATCTCGGTCCGATCCGGCCGTCTATACTCGATCACGTTCAGCGCCGCTCGTACTTGCGCTCAGGACGAGCGGCTCAACATCTCCGTCACGCATGAGTCCGGTGTGATCCCTATCCAGACCATGTACGGCAGCGATGGCTGGGACTCGTACTCCTGGGCTTTTAAAGCCGGTGGACCCCAAATAGAGATCCGGATCCATAACCCGGGTCATGAGGAGCACCCCGCTTGTGGACCATTGATCGACGCCGTCGCTATCAAGGCTTTGTTCCCTCCAAGATTCTCCGGATGTAAGTCAACAGGAAACCGATCATAACCTCATCCGGTTGATTTTATGTGTCTGAAGTTGGCTTTTGTTTTGCAGATAATCTGATAAAGAACGGGAACTTCGAAGAAGGACCTTACGTGTTCCCCAAGGCAAAGTGGGGAGTACTGATCCCACCGTTCATCGAGGACGATAACAGCCCGTTGCCCGGTTGGATGATCGAGTCTCTCAAGGCCGTTAAGTACGTCGACAAGGCACACTTCTTCGTCCCCGAGGGACACCGAGCCATCGAGCTAGTTGGAGGCAGAGAGAGCGCCGTCTCTCAGATCGTGAGGACGTCACTGAACAAATTCTACGCCCTCACTTTCAACGTCGGAGACGCCAGAGACGGTTGCGAGGGACCCATGGCAGTGGAGGCGCTCGCAGGAGGGAGCAAGAGGACGGTGGACTACTCGTCCAAGGGGAAAGGCGGATTTCAACGGAGAAGGCTCGTGTTCAAGGCGGTATCGACGAGGACACGTGTAACTTTTCGCAGCACGTTTTACCATATGAAGAACGATCACTCTGGCTCGCTATGTGGTCCGGTCATTGATGACGTCAGGCTGGTGGAGGTTCGGACACTCCGAGGGTGAGACCAGAGTCTTCGCACGCAGCTCTTGGTTACTATAAAGTCAAAATGGTTAATTGTAATTTTTTATGTTTTGGAAATTTATATATAAAAAATGTAAATTTTCGATTTAGTTTATTTTACACAATTTATTATTAACTAATTATAAATGCAACAAGCCAACAAGTCCCACGTGCCAATAATGTTGCACGGGCCAAGTCGTTGGTCAAAGCAATCGTCACTCTCATTGAGAGAATCGGCTGTAGTCACCTGAGACCGGGACGATAACCCTAATTTTCTCCAAGAATTATGAGGAGGAGAATCTTTTCATCGAATCTTAAATCAATCTCCGCCGTGGGCGAGTCCACTCACCTTTCTCTCTCGACTCGTGCGTCCTCCATATCTGTTTTTTCCTTGGAATTTCTCTCGCCAAATCGGCTAGAGAGTTCCCTCGTGATAAGTGGATGACGGATTGATTTGTGGTTACTCCAGGGGATTCGTTGAGGTGTTGCTTTAGATTTTAGAATCTGCAGGTGCTCATTTGATTCTGATTGCTACTAGTTTTACAAACATCACAGGGAGGGAAGGAAGCTGCTCGATATAGACTTTCCAGAACAGAGGTTTGTGTGATATTTGATCAAGATATATGACTAAGCTCTCGAGAACAGAGGTTTGTGTGATATTTCAACATAATGGATGAGGAAAGAAGAAGCTATTGATAAATCAAAATTTTGAACAATTTTTTTAAAAAGTTTGGGTTTTGACAAAGAGGCTAAGCAAGTTATTCTCGAGGGAGACCAAACTCTAGTTGGGGCAAGAAAGCTGTCGCATAACCAAACAAGTCAGACATGCTAAACTGAATAAACGGGTGAGTGTAGGGAAGCTGCTGATGATGCACAACCTCATAACCATGTGAAAATCCAGCTGCAGTCATAAGTTCAGCGTACTCAGCATCTCTCTGCATCTGTTCCCACCTTCGTTGCTTCTCCGGGTTGACCCTTGGTCTGATGAATCCGGGATGCTCAGTTTTCAAGTGACTGTTAAGCTGAGAGTAAGTCCCTGAGAAGTCACAGCCCTCGATCGAGCAAGACCTCGATTTAGCGTTCATGAATCTTCTTGCACTAGACACTTTGATCGTCTCATAACCCTCTCCTCTACACAAAGGACATTTAAAGGCTTTAGGGTTGAAAGGGTTCTTGTTGCTCCTACGGTACTGCTTGAAACAGTTGGAGTGACGAGCGCTCGTATCGCACATGTAAGCACGACATCCTTTGGAGGAGGAAGAGCACCGCAAGAGGACGGCATTGTGTGGCGGTTCCATGCAAATCACACACCGGACATCCTCCCATTCTCTTGGGCCTTCTGTTTGGACAGGAGTCTCAGGCTCGTCTTCTTTTTGTTTGTTGGTCCTCGAAGAGCGAAGCGGGTATGGTGATACTCTACTCCTCTTGTTTGGCATTGACAATACACGTCTTTGCTTCGGCATCTCTCCTGCCAATATGATGATAAAAGAAATCAATCAGTTAAACAAATATCATAACCAAGAAAACACAATTGGATGACGGATAATATGATTATCTCATTAACGAGGCTACGAACATCAGCAGCACATTCAGAATTCTGACCAAATACGGATTATATTATTCGATGAGTTTTTTTTCTTCTGATCAGAACCACAAAAGCGCTAAACGGCACAACTTGGTCAGATCGAGAGGTGAATAAGATCGATCAGTATAACTCGACCATGGAACAAACAAAAAAGTGAGAAAAGGCAGATGATGATTATCATGTTCTGTAATTACCTTGGCCGTATAAAGTATAAACTCTTGGATTTTTTGAAGATGATTGATGGAGTTTCTTATGAAGTGGTGAAGATGAGAAATTTCATGCGAGTGCTTGCTTCTCTGTGTGATATCTATGGCCTTTTTATAAGCTTGTCTGATGCTTGTTTTTCCATTTTTCCATTATATCTTTTATTTTATTTTATGTCCACTGTTTTACTTTTATATGAACTTAACTATTATGAGATAAAAAAGCTAAGAAATCACTATTTCTTGTGTGTAAACTAGTCAAAAAAGGTTAAAGGTTTATATTTTAAGAAACTGTATCTTTTGCAAATTAATTAAATGATAAAAAAGAAAGAACTATGTGCAAGTCTCACTTTTTGTATTATTTTGTAAATAAATCCAACCATAAATATTGTACCCTAAATTTAAATTTGTGCAAGCTATTTACTCATATATTTTCATTGGTCTTAATTTGTTTAATACAACACTCTTAATAGCCAATACTATTAAACATTCATTCATTACATACTAGTCAAAATTATGCTTATTAATTACATTCATATATTTGGCTTACTATTCACCGCTGACACTAGTCAAAATTATTAGACAATTAAGTGTCATTCATAGACACATAATTTACTTTACTTAAATTTGTAGGGTCCAGATGATGCGTGGACTGAATGGGAACATCGTACACCGCGCGTATCGTATCAGAGCTCCTTTCCTGCTACATTGTAACCTGTCCTGCAAAGGAGCATGAGGTTTTCAATTGAATCTTACAGACAGACTTACTGCAAAAGCTCCTTTGTGTTTCTTATATCTAAAAATGGAAAAGTTCATCCCTTTGCTTCCATGATCGAATAAAAACACTTGATACTGGCTTCTGTTATTTGTTTTGTTTTACATACGTAGGCTTCACATTTTCGCACTTCAAGCTAGGCTGAGGGAAAACAAGATCCGAGTAACATAACCACTCTCATGGATATGGTGTTTATGAGCAGTTAACCGATGAAGCTGAGGCTCTAGAAACTTAAAAGGAACAGACATGAGCGGAGGACCATGCTCTTTGTGTATTGTGCTATTTGAACATTTGTTTGCTTTCAATTGTATCATATTCAGATCAACTATATTCCACAAAATATCTAATAGTGAAAATGACTGAGATGGTGAAAAAAGAAGGAAGCTTGATTGTACATTCATGATGATGATTCATAACACAGGTTTCTCTGAAGTCTAAAGTAATAATGAGAGTTGTTCTACCTCTTCAAATCTAAGTTAGCGAAGCAGAAGCCTTAGTCTCGTTTTGGGGAAAGGGGCTTGGATCTGCAACAGCGGATGATCTTCCTGACATCGCTTCGTATGGAGAGAAACGCACAAAGTGATGCCAGAAACAGCGTTGGGTAGACACGAAGAGAGTTTCTTACCAAAACATGAGCAGATTCCAAAAGAAGAATCTCTCTGATAAGACCCCAATATATCAAAAGCGTTCCAAGAAAGCTGATTCTTGTGGGCTTGAACAGGCTCAGCGACGCTCCTAGCAGACATAAACAACTCCCAGCAAACACCTGTGTGCAACTACATGATGAACCTCAAGGCTAAACAACTCTAAAGATGTTATCACCAGATGGAGAGGAGAAGCAAACCTCTAGATGATGAATATCTGTCGACAGGGAGGAGGACCTATACTTCTCGTCGAAGCCGTAAAACTTGAACAGCTTGTGATAGTTGGGGAGTCCAGAGCCACCAATAAGAGACTTGGCCATGGCACCAGGATAAAGGAGGCTCTTGACAACGGATGAAGGAATGGCTTCATTTCCAATCATCTGACAAGACATTACCTCTAATGGTGTTTCGCAGCTCTTGTTCCTGCACGGTACTCTGCAATCCCAACATGTAAGAGAAACATAGCACAAGTTGTCACAAAGAATGGCCTCAAAATCCACGATTTTGCTCTAAACAATTAATATGCTGTCTGCGAATCTAAAATCCAATTTGTGTGTGTGATGTTTTCCAGACCTCGATTTCGCCCCCACATGTGCAACAGAGAAACCCTAATGCCAAAGGCAATTTGATATGATTTTCCATGAATTTCGACTGCTGCATTACGTATTTTTTTCCAGAGAGATGGTGAAGAAACTTTACCTGAAGAGGGGAATCTGGAAGACGATGATGAAAGAAAAGAGAGAAGAAGCGATGATGGAGATTAACGAAGCCCATTTCTTGGAACGAGCCATTCGATTTCGCCGGCAAATTTTCAAAGGGTTCGTAACAGAGGGAAAATTGAGAGAGAGATGGATAAACTCGATTTATAATAAAAGTAAAATGTTTTATTTTTAAATCCCACGTTCTTTATTTTCTTTTTCCTTTGGTCAAGTAAGTTTTTTTCTTCTTTTGGTCAAAGAAAAATGATACAATTTTGTTTTGCATTATCAACAAACCATTTAAACGCAGGCCAAAATAAATTGGTTTGCTTCAATACACTAAATCCTCTCAAAATAAATTGGTTGATACTCAAATATGCAAAGACCTAAGATAGTTTTGTCTTTGCTAATCGTGAGGAAGGTTTTGAATACGACCTATTTCCTTTTTGATGCACAGTTTGGAATTTTTCAGTTGCGCGGTTTGCTTATATACCGAAAAACGAGTGAGTAAATAATAACCAAACGACAGCACTGAAGCCTATAAAAGACTTGTTCGATGGCTAAAGTGGTTAGTGCTGTCCGCATTGCCTTTGTTATGCAACCATAGAAAGAAGTAAAGTAACTTTTGAAAGAGAAAATAATGATTGTACATGAATTGAGTATGAGGTTTCATGTTCCTGTCTTACAATTATACAAAGGCTAATGTATAAGCTTACATTTCTTGAACACAGACCATACCTTGATTAATCTGATGAGCTCACTACAGCTTCTGTCAGATCAATCAACCTGTCAGCTCCTCCATTTGTCCCTGTTACATCCGATTCACACAATTCAATTAAAGTTCAATTTATCCAAAGGATTGATCACAATAAGCTTTAGATTTGCCAAGGAAAACTGCATTTAATCAACAACTTTTGCATACTATGAAAAACATATTAAACACACAATACTCTTGAGGGTATCAAGGTGACAAATAAAAAATCTTACATTCCTCTTCACTCTTATAAGTCAATTATAAACCCAACAGTTTCTACTTGCATCACTATTCAGGAAATCCTTTAGTACCTTTTTCAATTATGATTTATCTCTAACAGTATGTTCTTCTCCATTAAACATGCTAGGAAAGGCTGTACTCAATGTTCTATCTACATCTCTCTGAATCAGTCTTTAAGCTTCTCAATTATACAAGGTAGATAAGTTTACTGGTTTAGGCCTTTCCAGTTGTAGGGATGGATAATGAAAAAAAAACTGACCCGAGCAATGAACGGTTCCGCATCAGTTCGTTTGAGGAAATGCATAGAGTGACGGGGAAAATTTGATGTTTTGTCACCCATCAAAATTTCTTTATCGATATCGTCCAAAACTCTGACCTTTATGTAAGGGTCTTTTGGAGGGACCATATCCTTCAAGAAATGAAACAAAAGGACAGTCCACCAAATAAGAAGAATCCAAATAATTATTACTGTTGTGATATCCGGAGGCCAGGGTGGTGGGAAGAGGACTTACAACATTCAACTCCATTCCTACTTTTCCCATGTAAGATTTTATAGCTACTGAGTGGTTCTTGAAGTACTCATTCTCTTCTTTAGTAAGCTTTTCTTGGATTTCAGAGGGCAGCTCGACAAGTTCAAGTCCTACTCTCCACGCTAAATCACGCACAATCTCTGCGCGGTTGTACCTGCATAGCAACACCAAATTGCATAAACTGTGTGTCCCGATTTTTCTTTTCTTTTTTTTTTTTGGCGAAAGTGGTACTCACACATAAGCCATGAGGCAGCGCTTGTTGCGGATCAAAGAAAGGTGATGAATTAAGGCTCCATAGTGGTCTGCGTTTCTGTTGTTCTGAACATCCAAACCTTCTTGTTGCATTTTCCTGCAAGTGTAACATCAACCTCGATAGTCAGAAGCAAGTCGTTTCTGGTGGATTGGCAAATCTGACAGAGTGTATTTTGACCCCAAAAAAAAAGGAGACATACCTTATCAGTGACTGGATAAGGTAGTGATTCTGGACGCATTCTTCGACAGTCTCTTCGAAGAGCTTATTCTGTGGAGACATATCTCCAAGTTAGAACAAAACAAAATAAAAATACTCTGATCTAGTGACTAAAGGCATGAATCTGAGAGCAAGGGGGAGATGATAATGAAAAAGTTACATTTGACCATCACTTTATCTGCTCAATTACCAACTCTAGACTTGGATCCTAGTTTTTAACATTATTTGCAGAAACATCGACTTAATTGCTTAGCTAATCACAATAATAAAATGGGCTTCTCCCAGATAATACATGTAATTGCAGCAGTGGCCATAAAAACTTCACAAAAAAACTGAGATTCGTTTAATTGCCTAGACTAGCTCACAGATTTAGTCAGTTAGATAGGAGCTTGAGGACTTACGTTGAAGAGTTTAAGCTGCCCTTTCTCTCCGCTCGCAAAATCTTTCACCAGCTGATACCCTTTTCTCCCGTACATGTTTGAATCCGCGGAGGCTAATCTTTGGCTTCACCAAAAATCTAATTCAAGCAATTCATCAAACATCTGGCATGCCCCCAAAAAAATGAAAAAACAAATGCAAATTCTGACTCAACGAACCAAATTCTATATATGTGAATCGAACTGGATGAAGTAAATCGTTCCAAGTATCGCGGAATTCAACGGATAAACAAAGCCCTAGATCTAAAAGCTTCAGACTAATCAAACATACGAATAGCAGATACTAGAGAGAGAGAGAGAAAGAGAGAGAGAGAGAGAGAGAGAGAGAGAGAGAGAGAGAGAGAGAGAGTACCATGGCGAGGATGGATCTGCACCGGAACAATGTAAATTCTCGCGGCGGCGATTGATTCCAGAAGAAAAAACAATTGTGGAACTACAAAATCTATAGCGGCAAGACTCAATAATTTTTTAGGGGTTCTGGGGAATTTTAGGCGGGAATCAAAAGGTTTCAAGATTTAGCGCGAGAATTATGTTTGGGCCTTTTAATGCAAAACTGATTGTACTCTTTCGGTCTGAAAATAAGACGATCAATTTGACTGACAGTGCGGCCCGTTTTAAGAAAAAAAATGGACTGGTAGTGATTGATGGTTAACATTGTACGCGCATACATTATATATATATGACACCTTCTTTTTATATTTTCCCCCGCTTTTGTCTATTTTCTAAAATTGTTATAGGCTAACACATGCAAAAAAACAATCATCAGAAGAAAAATCAATCAACGGATTATAAATGACACAGAAAATATTTAGTGTTCCATCAAATCTTCAGTTACAGATAAGAACGCCTCTTTTTTTGCCTAGCGATATGATTTTCCGTTCTAACCATCATCAATTTTTTCTAAAGTAAAAGCCGTTTTGTTCGCATGCGTACGTTTTTAGCTGCTTCAATCAATCCAAGAATTATCCATAATTTGTTTCTAGATTTAAAATAGACTCAGATTTGAAAGCATGGGTTTATATCGGCGGTGTAGATTTAATTGGGGATTACGATATGGCCACTCACAAATTGTTGTCCATATGAAGAGCGGGGCACATGAATGGTTATTGTCCACAATACGAATGTGGGGTATGGTCCATGTAACAAGATATTGCAAAATAATGCACACCTTTCAAAGTTTTTATATTTTCAGCCTTTGGAGGATCACATTAGCTTCGAATTTATGTGATTATTTTTATATAATCTCTTCTGTCATCTACCGAGATTTGTAGTACTTTCAACTCTCAACCAAACAAATCAGGCATGAGCAACGATGGGTTTCTTTAATAAAATGCTAATTATAATAACTAATTATCCATGTTTGACTATAATATATCGTTTTGGTATAATCACATACGACACGATGATCTAACGTGAATTTTCAATGAAGTTTGAAGATAAATGGCTAAAGTTAAATGTTAAAATAGATTTTAATTTTCTACACCTACCACGAAAGAGCGACGTGTGTCTTACTTCCCATAATTACTCGTTGCTTTGACCAAGTTTTCTCTCCCGTTCAACTACGTAACAAATAAAATAAAATGGTTACGCATCCGCTAACATGATAATCGCGATTATATACTAGTTGGTTAGAGATTTAAAAAAGCAGAAATAAGAATAAATAGAAAGAAATAAGAAGATGACAAACATTTAAGATAAGAGGAGGTGGAAAATGAAAAAAGTCTGAAACACAATGATGAACCTTTTTTAGCAAACATCCAAAAAAGACGACGAAAACAGAGTGAGAGAGAGAAGCAAGAAAAGAAAGAAAAACGGAGGAGGAACAGGTAGCGCCATCCATGGCGGGTCTTCAGAGATCCACCATCTCATTCCGGCGACAGGGCTCTTCAGGTATAGTCTGGGACGATCGTCTCATCGCGGAGCTAAACAAACAGGCCAACGAGCAGAAAGGCGACACTCATCAGCAGGAAGAACAGGCTAAGCTGATTACGTCGGAAGGCCAAGAGCAGACAACCGGAGACGGCGGAATCAAGCCGATCAGAACCGGAGGGGGGATCGAGAGGAGTCGATCCCATCGAAACACCGGAAGAGTGTCTCCGGCGGTGGATCCGCCGTCGCCGAGACTGTCGGCGTTTGGGTGTTGCTCTGCTTTCGGGAGTAAACCGACGGGGAAGAAACCGGTTAATCAGAGGAAAAGGCTACCGAAGCGCAGATCCAGGTAGGCGGCGGAAGGAAAAGTAAAGTAGAGTAAAGAAGACACACACACAAAGATAAGAAAAGAGTATCATACTGCAAATGAATAATCTTTCTTTCTAGTTTTTGTTTGTGCTTCTGCTTTATTTTCAACTTGTTTGAATTCAGACGATATGTTTATAACTGTTTGATTTCAAAATTTTCCGGATTTTTTCTTGGGTATTGTAGTAAATTAAGTAGTAGGAGTAGTATCTTTCTCTCGTGATAACTCAACTGTTTGGTTCTTGGAAAAAAGAAACACACAATCTTTGGGGATCCAAAGTCTCTATCTATATCCCGAGACAAACTCCAAATTTCCGAAGAATATCAAAATTGGACCTGACAACAGATGTAACAACGACCTGCAATTCTCCATTCCTGCGTAATTTTTTTTTAAAATACTTTTTTTCCGTATTTGAGTCATAGTCCTGTTCGAATATTTCGTCGCATGTGAAAAAAAAAAACAAAAAAACACACATGTTCTTGTAAGACGTTAATTATACTATAGTGGTGTGATTAGTTGGTTTCATTGATCTCTCTCTCTTTTTTGGGGTTAATGAAATAATTGATATAACTCTTGCACTCAATAACCTTTTTTCCAACATGAATAATTATTATAAGACAAACACTTAATTTAGTTTTTCAACATGATCCTTAATAATTCGCAAGACTTGATATGATAGTTATTAGACGAATGGTTCTTGAAAGGAACCATTCGTTATATCTTGGGCTTTAAACCGTCGTCTTCTCGTAAACTTGGTCTGGGCTTTATTTAGCCCATTACATCGAACTATGATAGATCCCGCATTTCATTTTGGCGTTCAATTATCATTTATCTACAAGGATTTTAATTATATGATTGATTAACTTATACATTAATCAATCAATAATGTGATGATGTATGGGAAGATTCAGAGGGCGTCATTACCGAATCCTTGAAAATTAGAAAGTGTCTTGCTTCTTCACATTTTCTTTCGGGCTAAACATAACGTCATTTCACCATCACTGCAATGAGGAAAAATGAAATTTGAAGGTAGAGGAGGGGAATCTTAGATCCGTAATTCTTATTTAAATTCCGATTATATATAGACTGTATATGCATATGTCTTGACGTGCCCACCTCAACATTTGAGTTTAAAAGTGTCTATAAACCCACTCTAATCCTAAAAACCAAGCGAAATCATGAGCAGTATAATCTTGGCTCGTTTGTTGTTGTTGTTACTACTACTAGTCGTATTCTCACTCGCTCTAACCGCAAACGCGAATTCTTTCGAATCGCTCCTCCAGCTCCCGCGAAGGACCCGACCCAGATCCGAACGGCTCCTCCACGTCGGCAATTTCGGAGCAAAGGGCAATGGCTTCACCGACGACACTAAGGTAAAACGAATCGCTCAAATCCTCTTTCCCCTGTAAAAAAAAAAAAATAGAAATCTTGGATTAATCCAAATAGTTTGAATTTGTAAAATGGTATGCAGGCGTTTGCAGATGCTTGGAAGACAGCTTGTTCGTCCAAAGCCAAAAACAGAATCTTGGTCCCAGAAAACTACACTTGTCTTGTTCGGCCCATTGATCTGTCGGGACCTTGCAAAGCAAGACTCACACTGCAGGTAAGGCTTCCACAGGTCTTTAAGGATCTTGCGGATATATTTTCAGATTGCCCTTGTGTACTTGTGTTTGCCCAATAGATCTCTGGTACAATCATTGCTCCGGGAGACCCAGATGCTTGGGAAGGTCTAAACCCTCGGAAATGGCTTTACTTCCATGGCGTGAGCCGCTTGACTGTTGAAGGAGGCGGCTCTGTCAATGGAATGGGGCAAGAATGGTGGAGAAGATCTTGCAAACACAATCATTCCAATGTAAGTTTTGCCTCCTTTTTTTCTTTCTTTCAATATGCTCTCCAGAGATTGAATGGGAGATTGAATGGCATTTTTCACCCTATTTGCAGCCTTGTCGAGGCGCCCCAACGGTGAGCAATCATCCAATTACTGTACTTTCTTATCTCATTGGTGTGTCTACTGTTTATACTAGTGAAACTCTGTTTGTTCCTTGTAGGCCTTAACATTCCACAAGTGCAAGAACATGAGATTTGAAAACCTCAATGTGATCGACAGTCAGCAAATGCACATTGCCTTCACGAGCTGTCGCCGTGTGACCGTCTCAGGTGTAAAGGTCATAGCTCCAGAAAGTAGTCCCAATACTGATGGAATTCACATAAGCGCCTCTCGCGGTATTGTAATAGACAACACAACGGTCAGCACTGGTCAGCGTCCTCTACTTCAACCTTACATCTTCAACCTTAAATCTTTCTCTCTTTTTTTTTCTCAATTGGTTGATTATTGAGATCTGTGTTGGTGTAGGAGATGATTGTGTTTCCATAGTAAAAAACTCTTCACAGATCTCCATCAGCAACATTGTCTGTGGTCCTGGCCACGGCATAAGGTAAGTACTAAAGCCAAACAAAACAGACAAAAGCATCATCATCTAAAGTTAGACTTGTCTTTGTAGCATCGGAAGCATTGGAAAGTCGAAATCTTGGGAAGAAGTTAAAGACGTGACGGTCGATACGGCCTTCATCTCTGACACTGCCAATGGTGTTCGGATCAAAACATGGCAGGGAGGAAGTGGTTTGGTCTCAAAAATCATATTTAGAAACATCAGTATGAACAACGTGTCGAACCCCATCATCATCGACCAGTATTACTGCGATTCCAAGAAGCCGTGTGCGAATCAGGTAAAGAACTTGTGCCATTTCTTTCTTCAGTGTAGCTCAGATACTGAACCTGAGATCTGTTACAAACTCAAAAACCTGCAGACATCAGCTGTTACCATTGAGAAAATCTCATTTGTTGACGTGCGTGGAACTTCAGCGTCAAAACAAGCAATCAAGATCTCTTGCAGCGATACTTCACCATGTCGCAACATACTTCTACAGGACATCGATCTTGAACCATTGAACGATGATAGTTTCACAGAGTCCTTCTGCTGGGAAGCTAATGGTTCGAGTTCGGGTCAAGTGTACCCTCCTTCTTGCCTCTCAGATCATGAGACTAGCTTCTTGGAACAGTCGGTTCGGGCTGGGATCACATCTGTATCATACCTTTGAAGTCATGTTTTTTTCAGATTGCAAATATACCACGCACGCGTATACGAAATGTTTCGAATATTCACGTTTTAGCAATTTTAGTTCACCAGTCTATCGTCGAGTTTCTCTTGTGGATTTGAACTCAACTGATTCAAAGAATGTCAGCAAAATTTTAGCTCACAAGTGTTTTTTTTACCTTACGACCAGAGCGACCAATACGATGGATTACACGGTTGTTGGGGAGATAATAATTTATGACAAAAGAAACCTGTTTTAAGAAAAATCAACTCAACACTTTGGGATCAGTAGTTGAGCAACCAAAAACTATGGAGAGAAATTGTAAATAACCTAAACAATACAGCACAAAAATGTAAAAAAAAAACAAACAAAAGGAAACGTATGTAATTTACTAAAACTATGAGAAACGTATGTAATTTACTAAAACTATGAGAAACGTATGTAATAAACAACTATATATGGGTACATTTGTAATAAACAAAATTTGAAGAAATATATGCAAAATAGCCTTTTGAGCCTAAAGTGAAAACTGTTGGGTCAATGTATTGTAGCCCATTTCATAAAAACACCTAAATATATCAAAACCGGCCCATAATGCGGGAACGGCGAAAACGACCGTCGTAGACGATTCCTTTCGGTGGCTTATCTCCTCCTAGAGCCCATGAATAATCTAATCTTGTTGTTAGGTCAGATTTTCTGTATGCCTTTCCTTTTTCAAAAGGAACCTATAGATTTGATGCTTAATTTCCCATTTAGATTAGAAACGTATATTATTATTATCATAATATTTATTCAATGAGATCTTTATATATAAAGGGGAACGGAAGTTGCATGATTCCAAATAATTGATGATATTTTTTGGCTACTGCTTTAGTAGATTTTTTAGTGGATAAGCGATGAAAGGATATGATTTTAGTTATACAGTAGTAGCTTTTTATTATATCTGAACGTCAAATTCAACATTCGATATCTTGTTATTAGTCATTATTCCTTCCAAAAATTCAAAGTTTGTTCCGTAGGGATAAAAAAGACTTAGAGGATATAACAAACACACAAATATTACTATAAATACACATCCCCAAAATCAGGGACTCACCATCATCCAAATATCGAAGTCCCCCAAACACATTTACACACACAAACAACAACAACAACAACAAAGAAGAGGACTATGAGCTCCTTACAACATCTGTCCGTGCGCTGTACTAATAGTACCAACTCCAAGGTTATTACAGAGAAGAGAAAATCGGTGACACTACCTTCAAATGGCAACAAGCTGGAGAGCAAGCAGACGATTCACGACGTGGACAAATGCGCCGAAACTTTCATCCAAAACTTCCGACGACAGCTTCTTCTTCAGTGCGATACATAGCATCCTCCCCTGGGGAGATCTTTGCATATATACTCTTTAACACTTACGTATAAAGGATCGCGTCTCATGTGTGCATACATAACGTATTTATATATTTGACCTAGATTCGCATCTCTTAATGTATCATACTGTTTGGTTTCTCAACTAATGGCATAGAGAGACTAGAGCGAAGCAAATTAATGATCATTTAGTTTTCCCGCTTGATGATGATGAATCACGTCAACCTCAGTCTTATTACACGCAATATTAACACACAAATGAAAGAGACAAATTAACAAAACGTAACACGTACGTTATACATAAAGTCCTGGTGTTGTTTGGACTTGATAAGGGAGATGAAACTAGGGGTGGATCTGAGTTGGGTGGACGAGCTGGTGGATATTGACTCGAGAGCATGAACGAGCCATCTCTCCTGCAAGAGGCACGACAGGGAGGCTGTCGCAATTGCAGATCTCGATCATGAAGCCGTCAGGGTCGTGGAAGAAGAGCTGGTCCACTTGGATTCCTCCTTCTTCCACCACTGCTCTCACATACTCTATTTCCATTTCTTTCAGCTTCTTCTCCACCACTTCCATGCTTTCGCACTGCACTCAAAACACACATGCTTCTATCAATTTTGTGCCCTAGTATTATTGGTAACAAACAAAATAATGGCTACGTTTAACCCTTTTAAAACCCAACCATTCCTCTGCTTTGTCCTTTTATTTCAACTTATATAGTTACTACCACAGTTGCAACAAAAATCTTTATAACCGCAATATATGCTAAACTCCATATCAGTTAAAAACTTAATGAGCTTCTCCGATTCAGAAAAAAATCTTTTTTTTTTTTTTACTTTCTAAGTAGATGTACGTATTAGGGATAAAAATGTGTTTTCTATGAGTTGTGAATAAAATTGAAGAGAGATCGGTCCCTAATAGAGCTTGGACATAACCTGAACAGAGTGCAAATGGGTTAGTTGGCTGGAACGTAAAAAGGTAAGGGGTTAAAATGAAAATAACTAAGAAAAGAAGGTACCTGGAAAGAAATGTGATTATCTTTGGGATTAATCTCTGTTTTCTTCAGTAATTTCTGAGGTTCTGGAGATTGCAGAAGATGAATTCCAATCCCATGACCGAACAACCTACTCACACAATATAAAGAAAAAAAAAATCAAAAGTAATTCCAAATTTAAAAGAAGGAAACTTAAAAAAACGCACCAAGCGCCATCGAAATCAAAAGAGCCAGGTCTTCGAATCCGGAGAAATCCAAGAACATTCTGGTAAAAGCTGATGGATTCCTCGACGGATCGACATAGAAGAGAGATGTGATTCAACGACTTGAGATGGAGAGGGTTTCCCGTATTTTCCTTCATTTTTTCTCGAGATATCAACCAAAATTGAAAAAAAGAAAGAAACAGAACAGAGGCCTCGATCGTATCAACAACCTTGGAAATTCGAATCCGAAATATATGGCGTTGCCGTTAATAATGGAAGGATCGATTTAGTAATGCGATTATATACATAACAGAACACCCGACTCGATCGTATACACGTGTGTGTGTGTGTATGTATATGTGTCGTGATCGAGTAACCCACGGAACTTATCAGATTGATGGCGATGATGCCTATGTTTCTATCATTATCACCGTCGGCGATATCTTGCGTTTTATTTAGAAGCCAGAGTTTCAGAATTTCATCACGACTTTGGACCTACAACTATAATTTCAAAACCTTCAATCATTAAACACGACAATCAACTTTAAAGCGATGTCCTTTAAGATTCAGAGTTCTGTCCCTGATTTTTCCTCTAAAACAACAGTTCGAGGGGACTTTTTTTCTTCTTTCTTACAAAAACAATTTCAAAATTACAATGCGTAATCATTTACGACACAAATCTACCTACCGTTACAGGTACACTTGCGACAAATCAATAAATAAACTTTTGTTTGCTTTCTCATTTGTGGTGGGCAGTAAGATGTAGGGATATGTATTTTACTTTCACAAAGACACAGAATACTACTAATGCTCGTACACAGATTGTGGCTGTCTCTAAATTAACAACGAAAAACAACCTTTTTGCCTCTTTCTTCTCCTTTTCTTCTCTTGTTTAAGGTTCCTATTGTCGCAGGAAACTCTATGAATGTTGATACGAACACAAGAAGATGATTTCTCAAGGGCCAAGCATGTGCGTATCACCTCCCAATTTTCCTATCGGTCTCTCCAGCACATGGCACAGGATTGGTCGAAACTTCTGCGTATGCCAAATCGCTCTCGAGCTGAAATCAAAAGAGGACATTAGTTCTCTGAAAGTTAACATAACAACTACATATATACAAGCAGAGTGGAGACATTACAGAGTATTCACTGGAGTTTCCAATTCATCCTGAGCTTTATTAACATGGAAGAACAAATAGTTGAATTTGTGAGAGAAGAAGTTACAGAGTGCCTCCTAATATGGGGGCACATCCAATTTCCAGGTCCACCACAACTATACAAAAGAAGCTCAGGAGAAGCAAAGAAAGAATCCTTTGGCCGTGTAAATGTAGCAAATTTGTTCACACAATGTAAACATTACAATATGGACTTAAGGGGCAGCAACTGTTTTGAGCTGAAAGGAGGGACTCGTTTGTGAACTAACGCCAGTATCAACTTAGCCTGATCAAGCTGGTCCTTTTTAACAAGCCCATCGAGCAACATCCCAACTGTGTCCAAGTTTGGGTACCACTTCTTTCTCATGCAATCCTTACACATGGTATACGCCAAATCAAACTTTCCTGCTTTACACAAATAGTGGATCATCGTCTGGTAGATCTTCACATTGGGTTTGTAACCCTTACCATGCATCGCTGTATAAACCCTTTCCGCCATTTCAGGGAACCCCGCAAGAAAAAACCCTTTGATAACCATGTTGTATGTTAGGCTGTCCGGTTCCATCTGGAGTTTTGGCATCAACAGCAACAGATCATTTGCATCCCAAGCTCGTCTCCTATTCACTAAAAACTGAATCCTAACGTTAAAGGTGGTGAGATTAGGCCTACATCCCTTGAGAACCATAAGGTTCCACAGTCCATTGCCGATCACGTACCTATCGTGCTTGTAAAACGCAGATATAAGTGTGGTATACGTAACAACGTCTGGTTTCAACCCTGATTTCTCCATCTGGGTCATCACCAGATACGCCTTGTCAAGCAAACCCATCTCACAGGCAGATTTGATGACAATGTTTAAAGAAACCGCATCAATACCAACCCCATACTTTGATGGGACATCGCGAAGGAAGTCCTCGATGGTGTGCAGATCAGGTTTCAAGGTCAAGACTTTAAGTGCAGCGTTGAAGGATTTAACAGTCCTCTTGCAGCCGTACAGATCCATATTGTAGAACGTATCAAGAGCGTGCTTCGTCATCCCAGCCTTGCCATACAACATGATGATCCTAACAATGAAACCCTCGCGCCTTCCTTGTCGAAGCGTCTTCTGGTGCTCAAGAAGATCCTCGATGAAATCAAACCGGCGTGCCCCGGCTAATCTAGAAACCGTATCCTCGAAAGCAAATCGATTTTCAATCACGAGCTGGTTCGTGGCATTAGCTTTAAAGAGCTTGAATAGCTTCTCAGGGTCTCGCTCAGATTTAAGCTTGACGAGGGCAGGTTCCTCAAGCGGCGGCTGGATCAGACTGGATTCAGTAGGAGCATGGACGCTCGAGGCAATACCGGTGGCTATAAAGGAAGAAGAATGGCAGAATCTGCGAATAGGTCGCAGAGATAGCATGATCCACGGCCTCCCTCGAGCCTAAACATGCCCGTTTAGTGAACCCGATAACATGTAGCTTCCTAATTTCCCCCAAATCTCCAGTCTCTACAAACCATCAAGCAATGCCACCACCAAAGGGAGACTAATCAAAATCTAAAAAGAGAGAAATTCCACAAAAACGGAGATTCCGACGAGAACGAGGGATTTAATCAAAACCTCTCAGCATCCATCTACCTCAATCGAAAATACCTAAAACCCAATGCGATTCGGCAACAGACATATCCAAGAAAATCGCGCCCGATAGCGAATGTAATAACACAGCCAAACTCAAACTCAGCTGGATATGATCCTACGCCGGAGTAGCGACCGGAAAAGGAGAGACTTTATCGATCTGAGATGGAGGAGATTACCAGGAGGCCAACGACGGGACTTGATTCGAGACATACGGAGGTTTAAGGTTTTAGGTTTTGGGTTTCGAGACGAAAAAACATTTCAGTGACTCTTGGGCTCTTAACATCTTTTATTTGAGGCTTCGGCCTTTTAAGCTTAAATTCTTGTTTATTTCCAGAATGACCCCCTTTGGTTTCATTATATTTCACATTCACACCGAAACTTACAAAAAAAAGAGGGAATAAGAAGAGAGATTAAAGACAGGAGGAGGGTCGGACGATGCCTCGGGAAGAGCCTTGAACAAAGGTGCAGAGAGAAGAGAGGGAATCAATGCCACTGTCCGGAGACAAGTCGATGTTCCCCATGAAAACTTTGCTACATGGAACACTCTTCCCTGAACACTCAAGCTTCATCGCCACCTCTGTCGCCGATGTTCCACGCATATTCATGTATCTCACTTTCTCTATGTGAACTCCCTTTTTCTGACAATTACATTAACAGTACAACATTAGGTTGTTTCATTTCACAATTTGAACCTGATCCTGACTTAACTTGAGAGAGAAACAAAAGGGATACATACAGTGTGGGTGCAATTAGGGGAGCAGCCGTAGAACTGATCAATGATGATGGGGTTTTCGACGGAGGAGAAACGAATGTCGGAGAATTCGATTCCTCGGACGTAACCAGTTGCCCCTGGCCATGTCTTGATTCGAGCTCCGTTAGTTGTTCCCGTGAAGTGAACGTGCGACACACGTATGTTTTCCACAGCTACCTCCGTTCCTCCTCTACCTAAACTCCCAATGCTGTCGTCGCACACATTTCTTATTAATCAGTCTTGTTTTTCTATTTTAATTAACAAATGTATTGGTAGGTTCATATCGCAAAGATTTTAAGCACCTCACACCATGTCCAGGCCCGCATTTCACATATGAAACATTCACACTATTCACTTGATCTCCGATCGACACACAATCATCACCTATGTAATTATATATATTTGACTGTGAGAACATAAAGAGAATGGCAAAGAGAAATCCGAATAAGGATTGTTGATAAACTAAAAATTACCAGTGGCGATGTGGGAATGAGTAATAGAAACGGCGGAGGAAGACGTGATGTGGACACCGTCGGTGTTAGGGCTAGCCACCGGTGATGTTATTTTGATGTCTCTGATGTACACATTTTGGCTTCCCATCACGAGAACATGTGTTTGTGCACTATTTCTGAATCTCAAACTCTTCAATGTTACGTTCCCGCAATTGCTAAATGTCATCATCTGCGGGAATCATAATCATAATACGTACATAACTCACATCCCTCCCAAGTTTTTTTTTTTTGTTTCCGTAACAAAAAAGGAAACAAACTTACCGTTGGTGCAAGCCAGATGCAATTCTGAAAATACATATATCAGACAGAGATGATTAGTTAAAATAATAATAATAATATATGTATAACCCAAGAGATGAGGGAGAGAGGTTTTGAGATTTACAGGTCCAGGATGGTCTCTACAGTGAATGTCCCACCATCGTTTGCCTTGGCCGTCCAACCAGCCACGTCCTGAGATTACAAGTCCATCCACTTGATCGAACATGAACCATGGTATTACCCCGTTCTCACCTTCTTGCCACTTCTTTGGATCACTCTCCGCTATAATTTCTCCATCGATCTATCTCATTAAAACCATTAATGATTCATGTAATGTTGATTCATATGTAAATTTTAATGGTAGACATTGGAGGGTGTGGGGGTTTACAGTGAAAAGGAGAGGTCGTCTGAGAAGGCAAGGACCCGTCAAGTGGAGAGAGTTGAGGAGGAACACCTTCCCTGCTGGTACGTGTATACTTCCCTTTTTGGACCTTCCTTTACAAGCATTGTCCCACGCCTTTTGGAATGCCTACCAAAAATATACGTTTTATTAGTTTGTACGTTAAGCTTCTTAATTATTATGTGATATGCGCATACACCAATAACTTACAGATGTATCATCTGCGATTCCATCCCCGATCGCTCCATATTTCATCACCGATTCACCGTTGCCTAGCCTCGGAAGAAGAAGTCCTACTATTGCAACGACCACGATCAAAACTGGATCCTGCAAATTCGTGCGAAAAGAGCATTAGTTTTTCAAATTGAGAGAGGGAGAGAGTCAAAGCGTCTTACCATTTTGACCAGATCAACTTGATCGATCTAAGCAGAGTTGAATACTTGATTTCACTACAGATTGACTTGAGCATATATAACAAGCACACGAAACATAAGGGAGCCTCACTTCGATCACATAACAGCATTAGACAAATGCATGCACTCTGTTTGTTTGTTTTTTTCTTTTTCTTTTTGTTATATGTTTATGGATATAAACGAGCATCTAAGGATTCTCTGTATGTGTTTAATTAGTAATGGATATCATACTGTTTTAAATTTTCCTTTAATATCAAAGGCTATTAGCGACTCTTGAGTTATTTATACCAAAAAGCCAAATTCAGTGAATTTCCTAGTTTAAAGGAAACAAATCTTTTAGTCGAAAAAGTAAATATTCCAAACATTTTAAATTAAGAAGCATAGAATTGATAGTTTATAAGTGATAAATCCAAGGATGTGATGATGATATTCACTTGCTCTGTTCTGTCACATATACAACGTTTCACGATTTCAAGAATCGCTGCTATACTGTTTGATTCAATCCAAAGAAGATGACTTTGGATGTTGGCAGCAGTCAATAGAAAAATGATAGTCTCCAGGGAATATAAGAACATGTAGATCTCACAAGACGACGAATCTCTCCTCCAAGGAACTCAGCTGCCAAATTAAAAATCAGAGGGAGGTTTCAATCTTACGATCCTGTCTTTGTCCGTGTTCTCCACAGTTCCCTGCAACCAATAATATATCAAGACACAAACAAATCCTTCCATATTTATCCAAAAAGATCACTTCTGTCACTTGATGTCATCCGACAGGAAGAAAAGGCAAACTGATTCAACTACTGATTCCCCAAATCTCAAGCACAACGACAAACTTACAAGCAACTTCATCATACTCGTCTTTGCCTACAAGGAAGATGCTAACATCACCTAGCACTGAATATAAACTGACCTCCACAGACGAATCCAAATCAAATGCTTCATAATCAGATCGACAGTAAAGCGTCAAGATCCAAATCGAAAATCGATAGAATCGAAATATCCCTAAAATCCTAGATAAATCAACCATAAAAATCCAAACTTTCTTCGGATCAAAACGAAACTGAACAGTGCAATGTATAGAGAGCCCAAGGAAGACGGCATACCTTTCGATCAAGACGTTCCCTACGGAATTGGCGAAGAGCATCGCAAGAATCATTTTGATTTTTCTTGTACGGTACTGTATTTACGGAAATTACGGTTTTGACCGCAAGAATTATTATACGGTTTTGACCGCAAGAGAATCAAAGGAGTTACACTTACACGTGTCAAATATTTGATGGACTCTAATTTTACGATTTAAATTCAAGGTTGATTAATTTTGAATTAAAAAAAAAAAGAGTTCATCGAGGAAGAGGAACAATTATTGTTACCGATGGCGAGTGAAGTGCATGGCTAAGTCTTGAGATTCTTGACTTAAAAATCAGCATTAAGTCAACAGCAACGTTTGTCCCAAAGTAGACTTCGGTACTGTTTCTCCGACAAACCTTAGCCATCTTGGATTGTCGTCATTTGGACCAATTGGCATCCTTCGAAATGTCTCTTGTCTCCCTCTTCCCACTTTACATCGTCGTTCGAGGTGACCATATACCACTCCCAATCAAATTTTGGCACCTTCACGTACAATCTAAACTTAATTAATGGCTTACTTCAACTAATAGATACACGAATTTATGATTTTGCCAACAATGTAGTATTTCTTTCTTTATGACACCTCTCACAAAGATTTTGATGAAAAGAAAACGAATTACTGCGGGAAGTGTGAATGTGGCCACAACGCCAATTTTGTTTAATATAAAAACTTTGGTTTTAGTGTGATTAAATTTTTTAATTGGGATGTGTAGTCATATGAGACGGGCCGGTCCTAATTTGTATGGCTACCAATTCTTTTTTCATTCAATTACAATTAGACGTATTTCCAATTCAATATTTAGGGACGATCGACATGCAACATACGGCCGGCCAACCAAAATAGGAGGCATGCTCTTTTCCCATGCAAATGTATATTGACATGGTGTATCCATATATACATATATAGATGTATTTATGCTCCAAACCATGACCATGACCATGAGTATGCTAGTGTGTGTAAATATATCTACCAAAGCATGTGTATATATATGCTATATAACTCTGGCTTTGTGTTTTGAGAACAAAGTGAAGATATGATCTTAACAAGAAGATATAAACGAGTTGGATTATTTGGAGCTGCATTTTTCATTGTCAACATCTTCTCTCTCCTATCTATAAACTGCATATCTGGTACTAATACATATCCAAATCCCTGAAATTATCGCCCCCCTTATAGCCCTTAATTAACTGCAAAAGAAAAAAGACATCTCTGATCTATATGTTCATGTGTAAGCAGGGGCTCATGATCATCAACTGACAAGGAAGGAATCGGTTCTGGGTTCAGAGCCTCCCGTGTGTGCAAACAAGTGCCTGAGTTGCAACCCTTGCCTTCCTTATCTATTTGACATTCATGGTGCTCACGATGATGGTGATGATGATGATGATAGTGAACCATACTATCCGGTAAGGTGGATGTGTAGATGTCGAGACAAACTATTTCAACCACAAGAATAGTATCTATATATGATATATTATACAGTGTGTGCTTAGTGCATGTGTTGTGTTGCTTACTTGCTGAATGACGTACGCGGTATCATGATGATGGTTTATTGTTAATTTTCGGGATTAGGCAATCTTATGCTATGTAAACACTTTCTCATCTCTTCGCATGATGTGCTCATTGATAAAGATGATGTGTTTTAGTCTTTTAAAAAAGGGAAAAAAGAAGATTTGAATCATTTGACGATGTGTTTGTCGGCATATATCTATATCCGGATCATGCACGTTGAATGACGCACCATTCACATGCGTGATATATAATCTTGGGCCTGAAATTTAATGGAGCAGTAGTATAGTAGAAAAGGAGAATATGGGCCTACTAAGCGTAAAGGCTGGAGACTCCCAGTAACGAAGACCTTTGCCTAAGTCAAACCACAATTCCTCACCGTACGTTCTGCTTACCTGTCTGTTAGATAGCGACCGTCTCAACTATCAAATCTAATCTATATTTATGAATTATATAACTTGACCGCGAAATAAAAGAAATTGACATCGAACATTTTAGCCTCATGCATACGTACAACCAACCAGATTCATCCAATGTTTGAAATATTCATAGATCAGCTTCAATATTATTTAATAATCTCCATACATAAAGTGATTAGAAACTTATGTACATAGCAGCTCATGCACGTATCTTTTTCTTCTCAAAGCTTCGAAAGAAACCCTCAAAAACGTAATTATCTACTGAATACATTTAATCCCCATAGCGTGACAAAATAAGAGACAACTAAAAGCGTGAGAGTGGTGATGAATGTGAAGCACTCAGATTCTCATCGCTTTGCCGTATAACGTCTCCGTTCGTCAGCTAAAGTCTAAAACGTGTCGCTCATTTTCTCGATCTGAGATAACACTGTAGCTGACAGTTACGTTAGCGTTTGTCCCCATCTCATGCTTCTCTAAGCACCGTCAGTTTTCTTTAAGAAACTATTATGTACTGATGTGGAACAAAAGGGTGAAAATTTGGGTCCCAGATTTGCCCATGTGGTTGTGGTCAACGTGTCAAAGCATCAGCGGCCAAGGGTTTTCTACGATCTTTATCTATGGTCCGTAGAATAATTTCACATTGTTTTTCTCTTGGCTGGCGTCAACCGAGACCAATTATATATACACTTATCTTTTACAGTCTAAATTTAAGTATGCGGCTTACCATTATATATAGACCCTACTCCCTAGTAGGCTACTCACTATCCAGTATCAAGAGTCTCACTAATGGAGTTTTTAATTTAAAATATTTTTGTATTTAACCGAGTGATCATCATGTTACTGAGAAGCACATCTGCTCCTATTCTGAACTCATGGCTTCCACAACACTGCTCGAGAGAATCGTCACCGGAGCCCGAGTCACAGCTCCAGCGCCGAAACAGATCGTTGTCTCTTCTCTCTTCAAAGTCCATAGATGAACACACTGGGGAGCTGTTGCACCAAACTCTCTCTGAGCACAAGGAGAGTGTTCTTAAATCAACTAATAACGACAACAATAACCTGATACCACGCAAGCAACGCAGGTCATCTTTAGATGAAAGTTCCCAGGGAACAGCCAACAGGAGAAAGAGTTTGGATCCGCCGTCGACTTTTCTAATGGAGAGGCTGTTCTCGAGCTCTGGACTGGGAGATAAGGTCAGTGATGATGGTGATCGTCTTGAGACCCTTGTGGGTGGTGGAGGCGGGTCGGGAAGCAGCGGCGGCAAGATCTGCAACGGCGGTGGTGTCGGTGGAAGCGGTGTTGACGGCGGTGGAAGTGAGGACGCCGCCGATGCGTATTACAAGGAGATGATCGACTTGAATCCTGGAAACTCGCTTTTGACAGGAAACTACGCCAAGTTCTTGAAAGAGGTAAAATAAGTTTGAGTATGGATGTGGTCAACAAAGAAAAAAAATATCTATTATAGCCGTTCTTTTTAATGTTTCTTTAATTTATATAGGATATTTTGTACATGATATTTTAGTAGAAGATCCATCCACGTGTAAAGTTTGTATTGCATGGATCTTTGTGACTTATGGTATCTAGCTAATATACCAAAACGAAAACCAAAATTTTCATTTTTAGTTTTAGGGAAAAGCGTAAAAGAGAGGAAATAATTGTTTTGGTGGAAAAATTATATATATGTTAATGAACAGGTGAAAGGAGATATGAAGAAAGCAGAAGAGTATTGTGAAAGAGCAATTTTGGGGAACACCAACGATGGAAACGTTCTCTCGCTATACGCCGATCTTATTTTGCAAAATCATGGAGATCGTAAAAGAGCCCACTCCTATTTCCAACAAGCTACCCAAATGTCCCCGGAAGATTGGTAATTTTGTAATATCTGTTTTATATAAACATTTTATTAAGGATAAAATAAGAGTTTATGATAACGATAATGGTGCAGCTACGTGCAAGCTTCATACGCAAGGTTTCTGTGGGATGTGGAGGAGGACGAAGATGAAGGAGAAGAAGAAGAGCAAAAGAGTGATGAAATTGGCCACAGGCCTCCAACTACCATATTCCGTGATTTTCCCCAACACGCATCCTAAAACACACATGTACAACCTTCTTATATATATATATATATATCAGTATCTATCTAAATACTATATATATTATTATATGCATGTTTAAGACACATATGCAAATGCAATATACGTGTATAATATCACGTGTTGAGAAAACTTTATATGTTTTGTAAATCTAAAATAAATGGCTATATTTGTTCTGTTCTGTATGCAGTATGCAATGAGTCAAATTAAAGTATGATGGAGTTTAATATAAGATCGATTTAGTTGACATCACCAAAAATTAGTCCACTTGTTCAGAGTTGGACTATTAAACCTCTGGGCCTCGAAAGTCAGATTTCGTGTTGGTATAAGTGACTAAAAACCTCCAAATGTTACTATTACACCTTTGGGCCTAAATCTAATCAAGCGAGACCATTCCACCAAACAAGCAGATAATTTTGGATATTAGAAAAGAGGTGTTGGAATGTGGGTTAGATATGTTTATTTCAGAAATCGGGATGGTAAATAGTAGAAAAGGGATGAGAGTATATAATTCGGATATTAAAAATATTATCCAAAGTATTTGTGATAGCTAAATTTAGTATTTAAAGTCCCAACAAGTTTTTTTTGGGGGTCTAAAAGTTTCAATAACTTGAATAAGAATTAAATTCAAAATAGATATTTTGAATAAGTTTGGAACATTTTATAATAAGTTTTAGATAAGCCAGATAAATTTAGTATTTTGTTTCATTTTTTTTGTTTTCTATTCTGCTTCATTTTTGTTAATAAGTCAAGAGAGGTATAAGAGCACCTCCAACGGAAGGTTTCAAATACAGATTCTAAACAATTAAAAAATTAAAAAAATTGAAAAGGAAGAGAGAAGGAGAAGATACGCTTCTCCTATTAGAGTTTTTTAAAGCGGACTCTCACCACTTGCAGCATTTCATTTGTTTATCTTTTAAAAATAAAATAAAATTTAATTAAATAATGTTATTATATTAAAATATTATTTAAATAAAGATTAGAAGCCCATTTTTTATAACTCACCGTTGGAAGTGGTCTAAGTTATTCTAACTCCCATAGATTTGGAGTATTATTGTTGAACCGTCCTATGGAGTATGGCCTATGTCTATGGAAAGAGAAAATAGATTTGCCGTCCTTTATGGGTAATTATAGCTTTCACACTTTGACTAATGTAAACTTTTGAAACCTGTAAGACTTTGCCTAGCTAACCAACAAAAGGCAAATTATTTTGACACAAACATTTTACCAACAACTAACCCCATTCTTAAAAGTTAAGAACCCTTTTTTCTTCGAACTTAACAGCTGTAGTAGCGAAATTCAAATCAAGTCACAGCAAACAGACGAGAAAATATTTGTCCCGATCGTTCCTTTCAAGCCGACAAGAAACTCACAACTAGATTAATAATTATTATTTCCACTCGGTTTTGCTTCCCACCGGAAAAAAAAAAGAGGAAAAAATCAGTGGTCTTCTGCGGAAGGGTGCACCTGTTCTTCACCAACCTCAACGTAATCGTCACCGTAGATTTGATCGAGAACAAGAACCAATCCCATGGCAAAGGCTCCATCAAAACCGGACTTCACGTTTAACGAGAAAACGTCTTTCCCAAGCATCACGTTCGTTGACGCATCCACTTTGCGCCGTATCTCCGCCACCTTCCGCCTTGTCTCCGCCTCCACCACCGTGCAGCTCCTTTGCCCGAAATTGCCTTCGATCAGGTACTCGCTGCACTCGTACTCCCCGTATACCTCCACCGTCACGCCGTTCCTCCCGATTATCGACGATCTCCTCACCCCGAAGATCGGTTTCTGACCGTCGAATCTTTCCCCGAGATACCCTTCCCATCTCCGTCGCAAACTCGGCCTCTGTTTCATCGTTTCGAAAAGAACAACAACAAAAATAAACAGAGCTAGTTATAACTCTCTCCGAGTTGACTCAGTAATTCGAATCTGTAAAGCAGCCGCTTTCATTCCACAAAAAAAAAAAATTCAAACAAATTTATGAAGATGCGTAGAAACAGAATACCTTTCGTCGGAGGGTGAGAAGACAGCGACCGTGAGCGTCCATGAGGACAACCTCGTCGGTGTCGCGGTTGTTAGGACCACCGTAAGAGTCCACACGAAAGACCAAACTGCCCTTGCAGTCGTAAACCGTGAAACCGTCGCCGGCGAAGAAAAGAGAAGTTTTCCGAACAGTCAGGTTCCTCTCTTTTCCGTGTATAATAAACTCATCGTCCACAAGCAAGCCCCCCTTCATTATTCTAGATTTCCGGTTGCTGTGATGATGCTTGTAAACGCTTAGATTAGAGGTAACGACGAGTTTACTTGTTAGAGATTGGGGAAGAGAAAGGTTAGGGCTGGGGAAAAGGAAGACAACGAGTGCAAGATTTATAAGCGGAAGGCGACACGGAGGGAATCTCATTTTGAGGAATTTTACAGTTTCAGCAAATGTTAAATTAACACGTGGCGCTGACTTGTCGCTTGAACTTGTATCAAGTTAAGTTAATGCGCTTCACTTCAAACGTCACTTTTACCGTTCATTTTACCATCGCGTATTTTCAATTTCCTTATATGTATGTTAAAGTTCTTTTCTTTTAGTTATTTGGTGAAGCAAGTTTGTAGTTTATTTACTCTGAAATGTAATTACCATATGTTTTCAATAAATGTAACACACCGAGACATTTATTGTTTGTTTTTGATTAGTTATTATTACTATATGTATGTACATTCGTCTGTACTTTACAAGATTCCTGTTGGACGGTCTTCGACAACATTATAACCTTACATTGCTTTCTTCTTTTTCCATTACTGTTTCTCCTTCTCTCCTTTTCCTGATTCTAACAATATTCCAAGCATATTGTATAGCGATTATAAAATCGGTACAGATCAAAAGGGTACTTTTCTTCTACACTTAGTATTTTTAATACAGTGTGGGCATAAAAGTTACATATTGTTGATACCAGGCCTGTATTAGCAATAGAATAAACTAAGTAGGTACATGTTGGTGAATTAAAAAGAGCGGACTCATGGAATGCGTCTCAACTTTTATAGGTATTATAAAGCTTACAGCCTTGCAATATCTTTTCTCATCAGATCTCGACGTTGATATTTTTATATTATTTGTTATTTTATTTATATACAAAATATGAACCTTACATGTACCATCAATGCCCAGGACCAGCTACTGAGTCAATAGTATAGTACTAAACTTCTAAAAATATTGGTCCTGAAACGGAAACGAATTAAAACTGTGTAAAATGTGGGATTTTCCCATGATCGAATATTATACACATATTTGTGTTTATATCTATCTATATGCATGATTTCATATATCGACCCATCACGTGGCCCGCATCGGGAAAAAAGATTCGCACTACTTATCATTGAATCGAAGATAGCATAATCCTAACGATCTCATAAAATACTACAAGTCTACAAACCAGCATAATTATTTTTAGGGTATGAAATTGACTTATAATTGAAACCTTTTATGCAAAATCATGTGTTATGAGTATATCTATATTTATAAAGTAACATTTTCTTTCTTCTCATGCAGCCACCTCAGCATCTCAATCAGATGTCACCTCATTTTTCTTTTTTCACAGCTAAAACTAAGATAAATAATGGCTCATCACAGTGTCCACTAATTAAATGTATTACTTTACTCTCTTCAATTCTACTGCCCACTACTCAAATTCTCCATTTAATTCTCTAGCCCATTTTCCCGCATATAAATACCACACTATATCCTCATCATTTTCTTCACACTCTAAAGCACATCTCCTCTCAACAACGATCTCATGGCAGGTGCCTATCTTGAATTCTCTGATCTCAAATTAGTCTCACCCCTTCATATCTCAGCCTCCTTCTCATGCAATACTTCATAAAAATACATAACTAACCCAAACAAAACACACCTCTTTCCTCTCCAGCGGTCAGAAGATCTGTCTTAGTGCATTTGACGAATATGAAGCCATCAATAATGTGCAACCCAAACGAACTAGATAACAGATGCCATCACTGTTACTACTACAAACAGATTGTCAAGTTTGTGTACATCATTTAGACATCAAAGAAAAACTATTGTGACGCAACCACAGAATCTTATGTTGTTATTCAAACAAACGTTATTTTAGTTAATCTCTATAACTCTTCGCAATACACATATACACATTTTCCAAATTTTCATGCTGCCAGTTTAAAACAAATGTTATCTCTACGGACAAACAATATAGAAACCATTTAAGTTAAAGCTTTCTCAAGACGTCCCAATTCTATGAAAACACATAAGATAAAAACGCAACTTAACATAATCCAAGCCAAATACAAGATCTTCGAAACCAACAATGAAACACAAACAATTAAACGGTCTAGATTAAGCCTCTACACACCAACAAGTTATGCCTCAACTTATGAGCTTTAAAAAATCATGTTTTCAACTCTTCTATCACGAAACATAAACGAATGACTAAATTAATATAACTCAAAAAATAATTGTATAAAAATCAACTTCAAAAATGCGTTTATTATATTAACATTTATATTTCATATGAATGAAATAAAAAACAATTACATTAGTGAGTCCACAAAAAAATAACTTAATAAGATAAGTTGATATTAATAGAAAAATAACTGACTATGTGAAATGACGCTCATGCACGCAAACATTGCTTCCATTAAGAGCACACTATACGTGAGACAAACAAGACGATTAGAACATACTAGATTAAAACATATCAAATTATGTGGCACAATTATATAACATTAGAATTTAATAATAAAAACCATTAGAACAGGAATTAGAAAATGACAAAATAAATAAATAAAACAATAAAAGTATCATATCGAAAAAATAAAAATATAATCTAATAACAACAACTGAAAACATAAACATAAATATAATATAAGATATACATCAACGCATAGTTCGGTTACTCTACGCATACCTTATTATTACAAGAAAAACTAACTCTTATAAATTACAAAACATAAGCATACCAACATTAATTATTTCAAACAGTGGCAGATAGTACATAATAAAATTATACAATCAAATTTAATAGTTTTCTTATATAAAAATGACGTATACACCTGTGCGAAGCGCATGCTAACTCCTAGTATATATATACTTTTTAGTTTTTCTTGGTCCACTAAACTCCACACAGTAAATCAGATGCACTATGTTCCTCGTTTCCAAACTCTATATTTTGGGCCAATGCTATACTATAATTTTTTAAAGTAAAAATATTTACGGTTATAGAGTAAAACAAATTAAATTACAAAAAGTGATGCAGTAAGAAAGAGTTTCGGCGTGCTATCGTAATTTGGTACACCTAATAAGTGAATGATCACTTGCGGAAATTAGTACCACATTGATCTATTTGGAGAAAATAAAGTGGCTACATGGATTATATTTGTGAATGTTAGTAACCGAAAGAGGATGGGATATTTTCTTGATATTTTGTTTTGTTATTAAGGGATATTTTGGTTGAAATATCTGATTAGGTCAAAATTACACCTGATTTTCGGATTTAGGATTGTTTCAATAAATAAATATCTAACTTTAGCTAATTTTGGATGTATAACTCCAACACTCGATGTGACCGGATTGACTAAAAAGTAAATTGAAGACAAGAAGGTACGAGAGACATAAAGAACACGTTTCCAAGGTCGGTCTCTAACCTCCAACACTACACAATATGAGGAAAGATATTTTATACATGTGCGCTCAACTTTCTCAAATTAGATGCGTGTACTATCTTACGTGGGCAAAATTAAAGTAAAGTACCAGTATTGTGTAGTTGACATTATACGGTATTCTGTTTGCTGATTTCTAACATCTTTTTTTTTTTGTAAGCTAGACTGGAGAGCTGTGTTTTAATTTTGGGTAATAGCTTCTGTATAAAGTATAAACCATTGCAAGCCAAGACAAAACTCAAACAAAACTTAATTTTTCATAAACTGGAGAGTTAAACGCAAGCTTTGCAGTAATTACTAGTCAATACTTATAACAACGCAACCATTAAACTGAAACACTCAAAAGAACAAAGTTTAGTTTTTTGCATCAAAAAAAAAACACATCATTGAATTTGAGAATCAAGGGACTGCAAACTGCGAAAATAGATTAGGGAGGTGGGAGTGGCCTAATCTCCATTCCATGAACAATAAGTCCCTTCTTCTCAAAAGGTTTCTTAGTCTCCCTAAGGCTCATCTCAAATTCACCCATATCTCCTCTCCTTTTGAACAAGTGTCCCAACTCAACCTCGTACCAACCGTCACTTCTAAGCTGAGCGCAGAGACCTTCTTCACTTCCCGGATTGTGCATGAGACTCACCATGGAAGGCTGAACATCAACAGGATCTGTGCCAGACAAGACTAGGGAGGCCTCAACGGGCTGACGGAAACCGTAGGGAGCAAGGTTCCACTTAAAGACAAGGTAAGCGGCGTAGAGGGTGTCATCAGAGAGAAGGGATATGCTGAATTTGCCAGTGATGTCAAGCCACCATACTATGTTTAGCACAGCCACTTCTGTGAACCTGTTTGTTTGTGAAACCCCAAAACCATACCATTGACAATGATTTACATAAAAAGGCAAAGAAGAAGTAGCAAGTAGCAAGTATGAGACCTGGTGTCAGGAAGGGAGATCCACTGCCAGTATCTTTGATCATGCCCCCAAGTTATATTCAAGGCCCTCGCTGCCATCATGTAGCACTTGTTACCACTCCTTCTCTCCAGTGAAAAGCTCTGTTTTTTTTTGTTCACATAATGCAGTCAGAATGTGATATCACTGTCGTGTGGTACAAGATAAAAAGACATTCGAAAGCTTAAACCCGCATGAACAACAACCAGTAACAGATTTTGACAAGTGAGATCTGGTTGATCCACAGCCACAGGAAGAGACCTTTTAATTAGACTTTGCAGTTAAAATCTACATGGAACAGGGTTGGCTTAGAGAGCTTGGTTGATTTCAAGTCAGAAAGATACCAAATGTGGGGGATCGTGGAGAAGAAGAAGAGGGTTATCGACGAGGGAGAAGAAGAGGCGTTTCCTGGTGGGAAGACCCTCAGGTGCCGCAAATCCGGCGGGGAATTCGGAAGGCAAGAAATGATTCCAGACATCGTCGGAGTCGGCGGCGGAACTGAAAATCCTGGAGACGGCCGACAATCGGCAAACGTCGCGGGGCGTAGTCAAGGAAAGGATCTTGGCGATGCAGTCCTCTGGCAGATTGTTCATTGCTTTCTTTATTTCTTTTGATTTGCTTTTCCCCAAATGCAATTACAGTATATATATTTTATATACAGAGTAGTCGTTGGATTAGAGCAAGGCATATAAAATTGGGGGAAGAAAGGACGTGGAAGGCAGAAGGAGGAGGAGACTTTGGGGATAATGACACTTGTCCTTTACTTACACGCTCAGAGGAAGCAACCACATCCACATGTCCCTTTCTTACTCGGTTCATCTCATTTATCAAGACAACTAGAGTAAGTAAGGGCCCCCACATGTCCAAATCTAAATTTTTATTTTATTTTTACTATACCTGCTAGGCTGCTACTATTATCATTGGGTTTTTATCCTGGAATTTAGAAACTGTAATTTAATCAAATGGAAGTTGTACGTTAATTTGACGCTATATCTTCCTTCTTTTCCCAATTTTTGGCTAAGAATTCCTCATTACATCTGCCATCAATTTAGTGTGGGCCGCACAGTGGGCCCAATATCTTCTTTTATTTCGCCCATTGCCCAACTTTTTCTTCTTTAGGATGATGGGTAAAAGATACAAAAGCAACTACAACTGAAATCTATGAAGAGAGTAACAAAGCATCAAGAAAAAAATTACAACACAACACGCACTAATTAGCTTTCTCATTAATAAATTAACGAAACTTTTTACTCATGACAAAACATAGTTATTAAACCATCTACATAGGATATCTGACTCCCGCAGCTAATAGCCTCTGCTGCTCCAACTGCAACCGTTCAGATAGTGTAACGAATCAATATATAGTTACCAAGATATATATACTTGCTTCAGCTATGTTTCTACGTACGGTTGTGTGTGTAATATTATACTAAGTACCTGGAAGAGTTCATGCATCATATTCTTGAGGTAATGGTACTCATGCTCTACTACCTCCAGTCCTCTCAAGCACCTGAAGCAGCATGCATGACGTTACTCATATATATAATAATTATATATACAGTCCATTTGGTTTAAGTAATCTAATGAATACAAAGAAAGTAACGTACCCAGGGCGGTTGTTAAGCTCGGAAGCAGAGCGAAAGGCAACGCAGACGTTACGAACCCTACGAGCACCAATGCTGGAACTGCTTCCCACCAACTGATTCAGATGCAATCCTATCTTCTTGTAGTCCGAGAATTCTCTATCCACCCTGTTCATTCATTTATTAATTTGCATTTTACATCAGATGGACACACGAATGATAAATATAAATAGACTAAAAGGTATACATGAAGATCAAACTCACAGCAATAATCTAAGGTTGCGGAGTAACTTCTCGGATTCGTCGAAATAGATATTAATGACATCGTACACAAAGGTTGGTGAGGTGTCATCTTGAAGTTGCTGCAGCTGCAAGAACTGCTCGTCCAGCACTCCCTAATCATATAATTAACCATCCCTTTAAATTAGAACATATACGTACATATAAAAGGGAGAATATTGGAAAGCTTGTTTGATTAGTTATAGAGAAACCTGGTGGAAAAGGGAGGTTAAAAGGCGGTTAATGTCGGCTTGAAGCCGGTCCACACCCAACCCCAACATCCACAACGGCACACCCGTCTTGTCCGGCTTTCCGGTACAAACTTTCTTCTCTTTTGGAGTTTTGTTATAGCTCTTGCTGCTTATGTTATGATTCGCCTTTGCGTTTGTTGAGGGGGGGGTATTTATACCTGTGCTGATGCGAGTCACGTGGCCCGCTTCTGTTCAAATTTCTTAAGAGTCAGTTTACCTTTTTCCCACTTTTAGCGTGATCAATACATAGTTGCTTTTTTTTGTTATTAGTGAACTTTTACTTCTGAGTGTCAATATAAATAAATTTATATTTCACGCGCGTGTGAAAATAGGGTTAGTGGAAAAAAGGGTAAGAATCGAGGAGGGTGTGGGGAATAAACCGGACCACAACTCATAAACACTGTACAAGATGTACTAGAGTCACTGACTGGTTACCGCCGCCAGCCGGTTACCCCGCGTGATACTGCCAATAGCGGCGTTCTTCCTTCCGACAGCCACCTGCAACCGGTTTACCTGTCAGACCAGATTACACCACCCGCAGCCTCTAAGACATATCTGGTTTAAATCGACTACTTTTGATTTTTTTTTGGTCGAAACCTTCAATCAAGATTCAAGATCACTTGACAGCAGCTATGGTCCAATGTTTACCTTTTACCTTATCTTCTAAAAAACCAACTATTCTGTCTTTTTGATTGTATATCTAGGTTTTTATTAATCTCAATCGATTAAATAAAGACGAATACAAATTCTAACCATTATAAGTTATCAAGTTTTAATATGTTATCATAGAATAGTCATTGACACATGATAATAGTGTTATTTGAAATTTTGAAAAGATGGGAACATGCATTAGTTTCTGAGACTGTAAAATAAAGGCCCACACTTTGTTGTTCCCTCGTATGACGCGCGACTTTCCCACTCACTTTGCAGTGAGTGTTCGCTATTCTCCATGCTTCAAATTCAATCCATCCTTTTCTAACCCTAAAAAGGTCTCTCTCTTTCTCGATCAAATAAATATATATATTGATTTGCAGATAATTAAAACAATAACAACTGCATGTGAGTAGAAAAAAACACCAACAGAAGACAGAAACATGCGTGAATTGTTTCCCCAAACAAAGTAAATTCATCAACAGTTAAGCACCATATATTACAAATTTATTCCTTTTGTCAGTGAAATTAATTTTGACAGAAAAAATGTCTGTAACATTCATTGATAATAGATGGTTTGGACAATAGCAAACCTGTTTTTTTTTTTAATATGAAATAATAGATGGTTTGGACAATATTTTTATAGTTTAAATTTAAACAATAATAATTGATATCCGATTCCCGACATAGATGTTTTGTTACCCAAAATATGCTACTACGATTAATTCCGTAGTGTGTATCGCAACTAAAGAAAGGCGACATTAATGTTTAAGTACTCCTCTAGTTTTTATTCGCAAAACTTTCGGTATTGCATGACATATGAATAGTAACAAAATATTGCAGGTATAATAATAATCCCCTAATCATCCTTGTTAACGAGTCTCCGTGGAACCAAAAGTATATAATTGTAGAAAGTAGCGATAATTAACGAAGAATGATATGAGAGCACAAAAAGCGTGCTCATAAGTAATCATTGTGACCTAATGGATAATCATATATGAAAACATGTAGTAGCTGTGCAATAGTGTAACTGGAGTCGCGTTATCGAGAAAATGCAAATAGAAATACTGGAAAGGGCAAAGAGCGTGCTTGGAAACGAAACAAACAAATATAAAATATATACTTTTGTTATCAGAGTAAGTAGTAAAAAGTGGAGCGCATAAATGAGTGGAGGCTTTTTAAGGTTATACTACCCCGACTAAAAAAACTGGTGATTAAATTATGATTATACAGTTATAGACAGAAAAGTAAAGAAAGTGTCTCATCCGTATGCCATGCTTGTTTGCGCCCCGTGCTCGAGTACCCTATTCATTAGTCACTAACCTTTCTATAATTCGTATGATATTTTGATATATTTTTGTCCATATGCAAATTATACACATACTTATATACAGAGGAAAGTTCTGTCTAGCGATAGCGTCCCTGTCAAGCAACAGCACTTGTCATTGCTTGCTTTGATTCCGAACAGATATCATTATCCTCTTTTTTTTTTTCTTACGGGTCATATAATTGTCGACATTAATTCGATATGATGAAACAAGTAGATGTACATGAAATAAAAAGTGCTGCTTAAGAAAAAAAGAAACAAAGGTGCTGTTACACACACAAAAAAGAAGAAGCAAAGACTGTAAATGAAAATTTGGTAGAAGCTATGCAATTATAGATGAGAATACGAAATCTAGTGATGGTGAGCAGTGGAGAGCAAAGCGGATCGGAGAGCAGCGATAATGTCAGTAAGAGAAACGAGGCCTTGCAGCCCATCGTTCTGGTCCACGACCCAAACTCTGTGTACACGTTTCGTGGTGACCATACCGATAACTTGGGCCAAGGTGGATGTAACGTGACATGTCACGAGCTCCCTTTCAGTCCCAGGTGCATGCGCGAACAAGGGTGATCTTGGGATCTTCTCAACGAACTCGAGCGCGTTTAAGGGCAACCAAGAACGCAACGTGGCTAAATGGCATCCCTTCAGATCACTCGCCGAGAACGTCCCCACCACTCTCCTGTTTTTCCCCTGCGCCAGCAAACGTATATCAGAGAGCAATAGATAGATAGATGCGTAAAGTAAAAGTCACGTACGTCCACGAGCTGTTTATGATCCTCTCCATCGCTGGAGGCTTCAACGATTGGAACCGCATTGAGCATTGCCACACTCATGCATTCAATTGCATCCTTTACTCTGGCCTGTCAAACACAGAGCATATATATTACTTTAGTTTAGTCCTCCAATGGAGAAGTATACGTGCGTTTGAGAAACTTACCTGGCTAGTGAGGGCTAAAACGGTGTCGTTTATAGCGGAGAGATGGGCAATGGAGCGGGAGAGGATGGCATGGAGATGGGAGGAGGATCGGTGGAGGATGAAGGAGATGAGATCCATCTGAGTCAGCATTGTGTAAGCAGAGGCCGACTCTACCAACTCAGGTCCTGCGATATTCTCTATGTTACCCTCCAATGGAACCAACACTCTGTGTATTCCTTTGCTCAGCATCTCCATACAATCCATTACGCTGTATGTAACCATCAAAAAGAACAAACAGATAAAGTTTGTGTATACATGCTTCGAATATCATTTCATTTATATATGTAAGCAATCTTATTCAGCTGTGAATGAGTTAACCTGGTATTAGGGTTGAGAGACCATAAGCTTCGACCCTCAGGGCAATGACCAATGATAGAAGAGACAGGCGCAGCCATTTTCTTATCGAGCCCACTCTCTCCTTCGTTCGCGGCGATGTGAGCCACTACATCGAGCATCGTCACCATTCCTATGTACTGTTTCTTTGCACGTCCTGTCTCCTTTTCCGACTCCACTATCATCGATCCACCAGCCCCCAACCACTTCCCTGGTTCCGCAGCCACCGGCACCGCTCTTACTCGGTTTGCCACCGTTTGGCACCAAAAACGAACAATTCTCTCGTGTTAATAATTAAATTTTCTTCTTCTAATCCGGGACTGTATAACAAAAGACGATATTAATTAATCTATGAGCTGAAGCATTACCATGGTGTTTAGGGCGTCTGCTAGAGTGGCGTTATCCGGCACTTCGACGAGCCGCTGCTTGTCCACCGTCAGATCTTTTACTTTGAAGTCCATTAGACGGCTGGGGTTGCCGCAGTTTGAAGACTGCATCATCAAGGTTTTTTGTTTGGTCGGGAGGACACAAGAGCTTGAAAGTAAGCCTAGTCTAAGAAAATGGGATGAGGCTGATAAACAGCATATCATTTTTTTCTTCTTTCTTTTTTTTAAATGCTTCATAGGAGTTACTTCCTATCACTCATTATTCATATGTTAACATGACACGTATTACGTTTTGGTGCACCATGGCATGTGCTTTCTGGATGCACAGACCACGCGTCCCTTTACTCGGATTCTAGTGATACAAAGTTACAACATAATGATTTCAGGTTTACCATCAAACAATCACATACATCAGTTTTATCTACTACTGCTTGCTCCAAAAAAAAAAAAGATATCAGATTGCGTGAAAAAGAAATTTATGGGGGCTCGGCCCAAAAGGAACAAAATGAGCTACTAAAGAACGATGGTAAAGTCCACCCGTTTACGAAACGGGTCGGATCCAGAGCCCAACCCAAGACGAATATCTCGTGAAACCAATAAATGCAGGAATCGAGGGATCAGGAATTTTGTTTATTTCGTTCCTCGAGTTATCCCGTGAAAGCCATAATGACATAGTGAACGTTTATTTGGACCCACCGTTTTTATTTTTATTTCTCTATCATACAATAGTGATGTATATATATATACACACACTGCAAAAACCTAACCGCAATCACACAACAACAAAAATGGCACACTATGGTCTCCATCGCCATATGTTCCTTGTCTTGTCTATCATATCTCCGTTGGTCAGATCCTTCACCGTGATCACCTCGGACTCGGCGTCGCCATCCGCACTGATCGACGGCCCGCAAACAGGATTCACGATGACCAACGACGGCGCACGCACGGAGCCCGACGAGCAAGACGCCGTCTACGACATTATGCGTGCGACCGGTAACGACTGGGCTGCCGCGATCCCGGACGTGTGCCGAGGCCGGTGGCACGGAATCGAGTGTATGCCGGACCAGGATAACGTCTACCACGTCGTCTCTCTGTCGTTCGGAGCGCTCTCAGACGACACGGCGTTCCCGACTTGTGATCCGAAACGCTCCTACGTCTCTGAGTCCCTCACGAGGCTCAAACACCTCAAAGCCTTGTTCTTCTACCGCTGTTTGGGTCGGGCCCCACAGCGGATACCGGCATTTCTAGGCCGCTTGGGTTCAAGTTTGCAGACGCTCGTTTTGAGGGAGAATGGCTTTATCGGTCCTATTCCGGACGAATTAGGCAATCTCACCAATTTGAAAGTTCTTGATCTCCATAAAAATAACCTCAACGGCTCGATTCCGCTGTCGTTCAACCAGTTCTCCGGTTTAAGATCGCTTGATTTGAGTGGGAACCGGTTGGCTGGTTCTGTTCCCGGGTTTCTTCTCCCGGATCTGAGAGTTCTGGACTTGAACCAGAATCTATTAACCGGACCGGTCCCATCCACACTTTCGGCCTGTGCTTCGTTGATCAAAATCGATCTTAGCCGTAACCGAGTCACTGGTACCATCCCGGACTCTATTAACCGGCTCAACCAACTAGTGCTTCTCGATTTGAGCTATAACCGGTTATCAGGTCCATTCCCGTCTTCTCTCCAAGGCCTAAACTCTCTTCAAGCTTTGGTGCTAAAAGGCAATACAAAATTCTCAGCAACGATTCCCGAAAACACGCTCAAAGGGCTCAAGAACTTGATGATTCTACTTCTCTCGAATATGAACCTCCAGGGCTCAATACCGGGATCCTTGACCCGGTTAAGTAGTCTACGGGTCCTTCATTTAGAAGGCAACAACTTGACCGGGCCGATTCCTATGGAGTTTAGGGGCGTGAAGCACCTAAGCGAGCTGAGGTTAAACGACAACCGTTTGACAGGGCCAGTACCGTTCGAGAGAGACACAGTGTGGAGGATGAGGAGAAAGCTGAGGCTGTATAACAATGCCGGTTTGTGCGTGAACAGGGACAGTGACGTGGATGAAGTCTTCGGTTCAACATCTGGTTCAAGTTTCAGGTTGTGTGACGGGGAAGCGCAGAGACCTGGTCCTTCCGGTACGGTTCAGCATCTATCTAGTGGAGAAGATGGTGTCACGGCGGACGCAGCTAAGGACGTGCCAAGTGGTTCCGAGCGTTTGGGTTTATTTAGTCTATCTGCATTCCTCCTCCTTGCGTTCAATTTCGGCTATATGATAATTTCTTGTTAGGGAAGGGATTCAAAACAAAACAATACTGTTGTAAATACATCCATCCAAGTTTCATTTTAATAAAAAAGGCGGCTTCTCTCCTTTTGTTTAAAAAGTTTGTCTAGTTTCGGAACTCTCAACATTTCAAGTGTTCAAAATCGTTTTCCCTTTTTATGAATTTACAAGATACCGTAATAAGTAAAACATGCAGGATTTTTCTTCTACTGGCAAAAGATGTCAAGATTTAGGAACATTACTATTTATCTCAGTAAGGCGCGAGACAGTAAAACTCAGTTCCTGATACGCGTAGTAGTACATAAGACCATACAAGTTTACAAAGCATGGTAACAAAAAGTGAGTACATAAACATGTCAAGCAAAGGTATCCTCACGATCTCCCTCGGCGGTGTCAGCCTCCTCCATGTTGCTGAACTCGAGAAAATGAGTTGGTCGATGCTCCTCGTGATAAAACTCCTTTGGGGATCCAAGCTTTACGCCGTAATTCATGCTCACCGTGTGCTTCACTCCCATAAAGCTGTAGTTCCATGGTCCGTTCTCGGGAACCTATCACACACAACATTTGTCAGAATCCCCCATTTCACCAAGTACAAAGCACAACTGGGTACTGTGTTTCCTTACCATGTAAAACCCGAGGAACCGGTCACTCAAGAGCATCTGAACCTTCTCATAATGGGTGGGAAGGTAGCCGTGAGGATTGTTGTTGCCTGCCTCCTTGTTGAGCCGTCCCCATTCGTATCCGGTTTGGGTCAACTTATATGATGTCAAAGAGCAGGAGCCCGGAGTGAAACTGCATGTCAGGATGATGCATTTTTCTCCATCCCATTGCTTGTTGTTCTCCAGAATGCGAGAATGAAAGGTCACATCCTGTCGCAGCAAACATCACATCAGTAATCAATGGGGTTTTAACGCGCTGATAATTAAAGGTACAGAGATAATAATACCTGTGGCGACAGTTGAGGGAGCTCGTTGGGCTGTGTGTGCAGCCATCCCAAGGGCTCAAGATCATTTAGGAAATCATGCTCCGGAAGAGCTGACGGCAGGTGAACTACCTGATGAGTGCCCCACTGCGGCACCATCACAACACAACGGATTTCCTTCACTTGGGGATTATCCGGGGGACTGATACCATATAGATATCCAGCAATTTGAGTACGAAGATCCGCTACGCATATGAACTTCTTCAGGATGTTCTTTGGCATGATGTATGTGTATCCGGTTTCCTGTGAACAACAATAAAATAATGTTTCAAGGGCGACACCTTGGAAGGCTTTTACTCAATTGAACGAGAGTGAACTGATTTCTAACCTTTACGTCATCCGAGTTCACGTAGATGTGATTGACTCTGAGGTAGAGGTTCGTAGCTGATATTGCACGCACACGCCAATCGGTTTTGGAACCGAATGCAGTTTGCTCGTAGGGGCTAATGGTGGTGACAATGAGCTCATCACCGTGTACATTTGTCGTTCTGGTTGTGACTGCCGTACTCTGGCTGGCTTCTTTTGCCTGCATATAGGACATATAGATTTATAATGGAGAAATAATAATAGGCACAGACCTCGTCTCTGAATATTTGTTCTAAAACCTAACACAAGTAACAGATACGGGTACCTGTTTCTCAATCTCAGCTATCTGTTGCCTCTGTTGCGAGGGTGGAGTAATCTCAGCTCCAAGAATAATATCTCTGATCTCTGACTGTGTTAGAGCTGATGTATTCACATTGTTCTTCTTTGCGTAGTCAGATAGGATAAGATCTCTAAGTGCTACCTCCACCTGAATTTAAACATGATTGTGAATCAGGAAAGAGAATAACTATCCAAACGAAGAGTAGAGCGTAAATAGACGAGGTAGATAAAGAGACGACGTAGGGTAAAGAGGGATCCTATCAAGTAAAAAAAAATAGAAAGATGCTAACTAAACGAAAGAAGTACTTTATAAGTGGCAGAAGAGTTACCTTCATCCATTGGTCGTCACTGAGAGAGGGCCAGATGTGATGAGATTCGGTGACAACAGACTTGTCGGGCTTCAACAACATCTTAGCCTTCTCATTATTCACGTGAAGCGCACGGAGGATCAGAATGAGTCTTGAAAAGGCAGTATACGAAGAAATACTCTTCAACCAATCATCATAGATATTGAACAAGACCATCTGTGGTTCTGTGGCTTTCAAAATCAGATCACCAAACTTCTCAATCTTAAGGCACGCCTGGAACGGAAGCTGCAGCTCGCTTCCCTTGATAACAATGTTGGGGAAATCCAGCAAGTGAACCTCAAGGGGATCCAGCATTCCTTTACGAGTAACAATAATTTGTTTTGGCTGCTCTTCAACAGGGAGAGAACGCACAAGCGCAGCAACCTCTTCAGCAGTTTTCCATTTCGCCAGCTGACCAAGACGCTTCTGACCAGCCCAAACGCTTGTATGGATTACCTAAAGGAACCAAAAAGTAGTTACTTAGGCTCCAACTGCATCATGTTATTAAACTAAACAGAAGAAGTAGTAGACAACATGCATGTTCTTAATGTAAAGTACGGGAGAGGAAGAATTACCTTCAGGAATAGCTGTCCAGTTCTTGGATTGAAAATAAAAATTGCACCATTGATTGGCTTAGTTGTTAAATTTCCTTCAAATGTCTTGTGAATTGTAACACGATAGACATTGGTATCATCAACAAACCAAATAATTTGATTGCTGAATATTTCACCATAGTTCTGAGATGACAAATAAGGCTCCGTAGGCTCAGATGAGTATAACTGCAAACCTTTCCTTATCCTCTCTCTCAACACATATAGAGCCGGATTTGACTGCAATATTTAATGTTTAAACAATAAGTCACATTTAAACAAAAAGGGATCTACAAAATGACTCCCTGTTATAAAAAATTCAGTACCTTCATGATCTTGTTCATTGCTTGAGCTAGAAGAGGTTTTGAACCAGGGAACCAATTAC